TCACCGAGATTGACAACTCGTTTCTTTCGAACTGCCTTTTATGTTTAGTTTGTTGTCCAGGTGAAATGTTGTAAAATAAATAAAAATAAGGGGCTACACAAGGGGATGTCTTTTGCTGCGTGTGCGCGCAACCGTACGCGCGCAGTTTAATTACTTCTCGCTCGAGCCAGTGATTCTATCGGCTGTGGCCGATAACGCACCCGTTCACTGCTGGTGGAATCGCAAGCGTTTAATTTTACATTTCAAGGCGAGAGCCCAGAGAATGGCGCCGGTGCCAACTATTGCCGCCGGCTATTTATCCAAAATTAACCGCCTCCTTGTTTGCTTAATCGGCGGGCACAATAATTTCTAGCCGTTACACTATGAGATCTCTTTTACCAGTGGCAAAATATAGTAGTCGGTTTTTACCCTTTTAAACTGGTAAAAAAACTGACACCTTTATTCAAGGCATCATGTTTGCAATAGCCACAACACAAGTAGTCAAAAAAGCAAACAAAAAGAAGCAACTCTGATAATGATAATAATATGCACTGTCCTTGAAGTTGATTGGTCCACACCCGAGACGGCTTTCTTTAGAGCCTAGTCTCCATTGGTGTTGGACCAGATGACACCAGAAGGCGTACAACTCAAACACAGTGCAATATCAGAGTATTGAGAGCTCGGGGTAAGCATTTACACTATGAGATCTCTTTTACCAGTGGCAAAATTTAGTAGTAGGTTTTTACCCTTTTAAACTGGTACAAAACTGACACCTTTATTCAAGGCATCATGTTTGCAATAACCACAACACAAGTAGTCAAAAAAGCAAACAAAAAGAAGCGACTCTGATAATGATAATAATATGCACTGTCCTTGAAGTTGATTGTGTTGTGGTTATTGCAAACATGATGCCTTGAATAAAGGTGTCAGTTTTGTACCAGTTTAAAAGGGTACAAACCTACTACTAAATTTCTAGCCGCTTAATGAATGTCGGTATTCTGTTGATATTTTTTGTTTCCTTCCAAAGACCACACCACGCGTATGCCTCGCAGCTTGTGGGGTCATTTTGCGCGACGATCGCTTGGACCCACGACTCTATTTAGCATTCTGACCGTGGGAGAGACATTCTCGGTCACTTTGAAAATGCGCTTTATTCTTTTTTTCAGAACTCATTTCCGAATAATCTATGCGGCGCGTCGTGTCACATTTTAATGTGTGCGCTGCAATGCAAATCGTGGGTGCCTTGTCACCGTGCCCACAAATTTACACCTCTCGCAGTGAGAAAAAAAAAACATTTGCCAGCAGGCGCACTGGGGTAAAGTTACAGCCCGCGAATTCTCTCTCTCTCTCTTGTCTGCTGCGTCTGATAATGAGCAACCTCGCCAAAACACTTGAGGCATCGTAACTCGCAAAAAAAGCACTTACCTTTTTTTTAATAGATTCCATGTAACGCCATGCGTAAATCTGTCGAACGGAGATAGTTTACAGACTGGGCGTTTATTGGCTTGCCAGAATGGATAGGGCAAAGCAAGACAAGAATGATTGACCTTCCAAATCTGCCACGCAAAAAAAACCTTTCAAACGATGCTTTCATTTCTCCCATGTGATGTTTCACTCTGGCAGCAAACGTGGGCTGGCAGTCGTGCTCAAGCGGTGTTTAAGTCTCAGAAACACATTCCTGCGGAGGGAGCTGGTAGGAACGTTGGGTTGCTCGGTCAATGGCCAGGGTCAACGGCGGCGTGGTGTATTCCGCAAATATGCCCGACTGTGAGGGCGGGCACAAGCCGGCGTGAGTAGGTTCAACGTTGAGTTGTATAAGGGCACCACGGGGTGACCAGCCCCTCCCCTCTCCACCCAGCCCCACCCCTCCCACCCCCCACCCAGCCCTACCCTCCCCACCCAGCCCCTCCCCACCCTCTCCACCCAGCCCCTCCCTGCACGACGGACGGACGGACACAATACTCCCCTGTGGGCTGGTGTAACCAGGAAGTTCCTACCTGTATAATCTGTTCACTAACTTCACACCGATTGTTGAGTGTTGGCTGGCCTGGCGCCGTGCAAACGCCACCAAGTGTCATGTCAAAGCAAACGTCGCCCTCTGGTGGGAGTCCAAGTGATCGGCCCACTCGATATTCCTCGTGCCGGTGAAACGGAGCCTTGGGGGGTTTGAGCGGCGATTTTAAACCCCCCGTGGATCGCGCCCTCCTAGGCAAAGGTGGGGGGCGGGGTGCTTTGCTTGGATGCCTTTCTGGAATGCACAGGCTGCTGTGGCACGGATACCGTGCAGGAGAAATGTCGAACGTGCGCAGGGAACGTCGGCACCACGTTTGCGGCGACAGGACACACTTTATACGCAACGTGCAGCGTGTTGCCTTACCGACACGAGACACACTTAGTACACAATGTAGAACAAGTACCTGACTAAAGCCACATTGACAAGAGGCGTGGACATGTGGTCTCTCTCAACTGTGGCCTGGGTAACCCTGAATTGTGGTTTTGGGGCTGGTGGATGGTGAGGGTTGGAGAGAGGTGGGGTGGGGTGGAGGGAGCGATGGTGGGTGGGGGGGGACCAGCGGTCTTGATTTGTGGGTGGCGGGGCCACACCAAAAATGTTGAGAACCACCAGCTTGAGAGTGAGGCTGTTCTCAACAAATGTCTCAAACACAACCAACAGAGAATGCGCATTCATTGCGAGCTCGCTCTCGCCCGCGGTTCGTCACGGCGGCGCGTTATTGCTGGGGGGTGGGGGGGCAATCCCACTCAGCACACGCGTGGAGGAGGGGAAGCCAAGGGAGCTGGCCACAACGAGCGTCGCTCGACCCAACTGACCCCTCAATTGCCACCACATTCGGCGACTGCTCGTGAAAAATGTGCAAGAAAAAGGGGACGCTCAAAGCGTTCTGCATCCACGCTGGAGTTTAATCATCGCTATCATCATCAGCGGCAGCAGTTAGCAGCAGCATCAGCCATGCTGGATGAAGACCTCCCAAATTCCGTTGCCATCCTTGCTGTTGCTGCGATGCGACACGCCCACACAGCAATCTACACACATGCCGATTTTACTGGTAGGAACCTCCTGGTTACACCAGCCCACAGGGGATTATTGTGCCCGACCGTCCGTCGTGCAGGGAGGGTGGGGCTGAGTGGGGATGGGGAGGGTGGGGAGGGGCTGGGTGGGGAGGGTGGGGAGGGGCTGGGTGGGGAGGGTGGGCTGGGTGGGGGGTGGGAGGGGTGGGGCTAGGTGGGGAGGGGCTGGTCACTCCGTGGTGCCCTTATAAAACTCAACGTTTAACCTACTCACGCCGGCTTGTGCCCGCCCTCACAGTCGGGCATATTTGCGGAATACACCACGCCGCCGTTGACCCTGGCCATTGACCGAGCAACCCAACGTTCCTACCAGCTCCCTCCGCAGGAATGTGTTATTGCAGATGTAGTGACATCGCGGATGTCACTGTATGGTGCCGGCTCTAGCAAGGCACGGCGTGCGATGCACCGTCATCGCGGACACCCCGTAGGTGGGTGTAGTACCAGCCCTAGAGGGGGCTCGGTGAGCGCTGGGATAGCGCTCAGTGGCACCACGCGTGGCGTGTAGTGCCGTCTCCCACCGGAGGGAGTGGGAGAGTGTCAGCTGGGCCATGGCACTCTGGTTGACCCGGAAGGCACGTGACCGGTAAAGTCTACAGGGGGGCCTCCAGGTGGGAGCTAAGGGTTGGTCACGTGTCCGGGGGAAAGTTGTCTCAAGAAGAGTCGAGAGCCAGAGAACTCTCTCGAAGGTGGGAGGGGCCAAGGGCGGAGCCGGCCCCGACCCGGGAGCATATAAGCCGGGTCCCCGCAGGGACCGGGGCTGGTTGTTGCTACCGTCATCTGGAGATCTACGTTGTACGTCCAGAAGAGTCTCCAACACGTGGTCCGGAACCCGAGCTGGGGTCCGGTCCGTTATAACTAACTCCCAGTGTGTTCGTGTAGCTTAGCCGGGTGGTCCACCACCCTAGGCCAGGGGTCGGCAACCAAAATAACAAGAAGAGCCATTTCTTTCCAATTCGGTAGAAAATTCAGTATTTCAAGAGCCGCAATGCATCTAAGTACATACTGTACATACGTACATATCGTCAAGAAGCAGCCCGTAAAGAGCCGCATGCGGCTCCGGAGCCGTAGGTTGCCGACCCCTGCCCTAGGCTGTTATCTGGTAAAGGGGCAACTACCCCTTTGTGTATTCGTGTTGGTGTAATAAATGTGTTGCCTCTAAGAAGTACGTCTGCGACTCAATTGGGCCCACTACACAGGGATTGCAACTCCTTAGAAGCTGGGAGGGGGGGGTGTATCAGGGTGTCGATGAGCCGTGGTGTAGAGAACTTCGTGTTTTTTTTTTAAACCAGATTCATGGACGTAACTCGGATAATGCTGAAGAAGCCACTGGAGCTATGCACCTTTAATTATAGATTGAAACCCATTTCTGTGAAACTGCCATTTCGTGTTTAGTTTGTTGTCCTTCCCCCGCATCTCCGATTAGCACGGTTGGCTACGCACGGTGCGAAAGAAGTTCATTATACATACGTCTTTTCTGTCGAGGTGCCATGGTGGCGAGATGTTAATGACCTCGCCTGGTATACAGGATGTCCCAAATTCGATCCTGACCCTGACGATGTCTGTATATTTGGAGTTTGCATGTTCTCTCTCTCCCCGTGGTCGTGTGGATTTTTATCCGGGTCCCCCGTTGTATTCCCTCCACAATTTAAAACATGCGTTTAGAGCATTTGGCTGCTTTGCCACTCATTTCCCATCCATCCAATCTATTCGTCATCATGTGCTCTCGTCAAATGTGCATCACAGGTTACAATAGTATGAATCCTTGCAGTCACGAAAGCTTCAAATCTAGAATTCCTGAATATGAGAAAGGAACAATATCATTGATGCTGTAGAGCAGTGCCACCGTGATTCAGGCACTGTGCTATGAACCCAGCAAACTTTAGAATCAGCGGTGAGTGATACAAATAATTCACTGCTGGCCCAATACTTCCTCTCATTTTATTCACCTCATCTCCACCATTACATTCGTACGTACCGTTGTTCATTCTCTGTAAAGCACCTTGGTCAGGACATTATATACATTACGATACGATAAGATACATTTCCACATGATAAGCCACTTCGGTGAGCTATAATTTGTGGCCAGGTCGCTTCTGAAACAAGAGCTATATAGCTCAGTGGGCCTTACCTGGTAAAGTAAAGATAGTTTAGTTATTATAGAGCCTTATCAGACTGTTGGGGACAAGTGCTGTTAGCGAGTAGCACCTATGAGGGCCGGCACAGCACAAGAGCGGGTGAGTGGCCAACACCACGCCAGGCCGCCTTTTTCTATCCAGCGGCCATGTTTAAACATCGCGTCAGGTACTCATTCAAAGCTGAGTCGACCTAGCAGAGGCCCAGAACCGGTTCGGATAATCGTTACTGGCGTTGGCCGTGAGCTGCAATCGAACTCGTGTCGCCGGGCTGGTAGCGCAGTGTGCTCACCACCGCGCCACACACACACATGGACGGGTCATGTGACGTATTACAAGCTACAACACATCAGCTTTGATACCATTGCTTTGCTGTGCTATCAAGGGGCACTCAAATCTTTGCTCACCGAAGCGGCCGCTCGCTTTAAAGGCCACTGGCCACGCTGTGTTTGTTGGACCACCACAACTCCAGATCCAGGTGCTTGCATTGCCTGCTTCTTAACCTGCCACTGCTCCACATTTGGAATTCCCTCCTCATCGTCCCTTCTAGACCTTTGCTCAATCCAAAAAAACAATGGGGTTTTGTTCTGTTTACACCCTCGATAGTGCCGTTTTAGTTTGGCCACTTGGGAGTTGTGGGTCCTTTTGGGCCTGTGCTACGCGACCGTGAATGCAATACATATAACAACACTCAAAGAAAACAATTACCAGCATTTTAAAGACTGGACATTTCATAAACATATTAAGCTTTAACAACAACAAAAACAAATCAACAATTCTCAGTGCCCCTTTCAGCACCATTAAAAACATCGCGTGGGAGCTGGGCTTCGGAATGCAAAAAGTATCCGAAACTTGTAAACAAATTTGAAAAACTTTTCTTTCTCCGAGGATGTCCGATCCCAAGTATAAAGCATCTCGTTCCGTCCAGCGGAAATGCCTCTACGCGTCATGCTATACATATGTATATCGTGAAAATACTTCCTAACAAAACATGTAAATATTCGTTTTAATCCCAGGTGTAAAACGTTAAACCCATGACGGATACATTGATGAAACCTGAAAACCACTCAGGAGGACATGTGGTTTGAGTTTGACTTTTTCACAACATCCGTTTGGTCGTAACTTTATCTCAACCAATTAGCCACCTTACTCTCGCCCCTACCTCCTAACACGAAGCTTCAAACCAAAAACTACAACCGTAAACCCTAATGTCTAAACTCTAAATCTTTGATAATAGGTTTTTTTCCCCTTTTTTCTGGCAACAAAACAGGTGTTGAGATGTTAAAATACCAAACTGAAACCTTTTACAAGGAATCATGTCTGCATTAACCACATTGTGGTAAGAATGCAAACAAAAAACATACTTTGATAATATATGCATTGTCTTTGAAACTGATTGGTCCACACCAGAGACAGCTTTCTTTTGAGCCTCGTCTCAAACGGTGTTAGACCAGAGGACGCTTGGATTTTCCCTGGGTCCTCCGGTTTTCCCTTCACATTTAGAAACATGCGTTTAGAGTATTTGACTGCTTGAAATTTCCACGTGATAAGCTACTTAATTGGGCTATCATTTGTGTCCAGGTCGCTTCTGAAAAAGAGCTATATAGCTCAGTGGGCCTTTCCTGGTAAAATAAAAAAACATTTTAATAGTTTGGTTTAAGTAGGGTGGAACAAACGTTTACTTTCCATAATAAAGGTTTTTTTTGGGTTAGATTGCGTCAATATAAATGTGTCGTTTAACCCGCGACCACACGACACAGCCAATTATCAAGGTTTGTCACGTAAACAAAACGTGCCAATTAGTTGCTACTTCAGCACACGGTGTCGGAGAGTAAACGTTTACTTGTCGGATAACTTATTCGTTCCACTGGAGGAACAAAGAATGCGTCCCCAACTATCCGCCCTTCCACCTTCCGTCCAAACCAAACATTCACCCAATATCCATTGCTGGGGGAATACATTTTCCGGGGGAAGCCAATATTGGTTCAGCGTGACTACAGGGCCCAGCGGGTCGTGGTCGCCAGGCCGGCTACAGGATCTGGGCCTCCACAAGGCGGTAGTAGAGGCCCCGGGCGGACAGCAGCTCCTCATGCGAGCCCAGCTCACAGATGTCGCCGTCCTGCAGCACCGCGATCACGTCCGCCGCGCGCACCGTCGACAGCCGGTGAGCGATGACGATGCAGGTGCGGCCCTGCTGAGCTTTCTCCAGAGCGTCCTGCACCACCTGGTTTCATCGCAGCAGCAAGCAAGCAGCAGCAACAGCAAGCAGCAGGCAGCACCAGCAGGAAGCAAGCGGCAGCAAAAAGCAGCAGCAGGCAGCAGCAGCAGGCAGCAGCAGGCAGCAGCAGGCAGCAGCAAGATGAGTGTCGATGTACCGTTTGGATGTTTCGCTCTCGCGGCTTGTGCCACTTTTCCCATTGACACATGCGAGCTGTGCCGGGGCCATGCCAAGTCTGGCCGTCAACACTCAGGAGCAGCCAGGTTTTGTTTTTTCCACTGCAGAAGGCGAGCCGCGACGCCGGTATCGTGCACAACGTGCAGCGTCGAGACGCATGCGGACGAAACGGCGATGCCGTGTTTGTAAGTCGTACCAACAGACATCACGTGCTGCGAATTAGTCATTGAGCCGCTGGCCCTGGCCCTGCTTGGCCCCCGAGATAGAGTAATATGACTTGTGAGGCCAAGCGTATCATGGTACGAGCAAACCTCTGCACACGGCAGATTGCAAGTGGAAGACCACCTGTACCGAGAGGGGCCCTAACTGGCTCGGCTTCGATGTGGCAGTGGAAAAAGGCTGCATTGGTGAAACGTGACATAGTGATCATCGTCATGTTCTCAACATGACGATGATCACTCTGTCACGTTTCACCAATGCAGCCTTGTGGTGGAAGAAAAATGTGCGAGTTCAAACTCCGCGACGAGTCCCGGTCTCCACCGCCGCACACGCACACAAATAAATAAAGCCATCATGTCATGCAAAGTGATATCGCAATAATTGTCAATAAACATCAGAAAAAACACTCCCCCCCCCTCTCTTTCCCATTTCCCTTCTCCCCTTTTATGCTGTCATCTTCCCTCGAACCTTCCTGCCCCCCCCATATCAACTTTCACTTCTCTGCTAGAGGCTCCCCACTTGGGTGGGGAAATGTGCCCAATCAACCCCACCTCCACTGAGCCCTGCCACGCCGATCTCGGCTTTTTACTTGCGGAATCTCTGCCCCCCCCCCTCCCCCTCTTGTTCTGCGATCGGTGCTATGTACCGCGCTCGAGTTAAATTAATTGTATTTATTAATTCCCTCGTATCGACATCGTGATGAAAACACAATCGGGCGGTGGTGGCGGCACGCACCTTCTCGCTCTCGGCGTCCAGCGCGGACGTGGCCTCGTCCAGCAGCAGCACGCGGGGGTCCCGGAGGAGCGCACGCGCGATCGCCACGCGCTGCTTCTGCCCGCCGGAGAGCTGGGCGCCACGCTCGCCAACCACCGTGTCGTACGCCTGGGGCAGCACGGCGGACACCGCAGCGACGGCGAGGGCGGGCGAGGAAGAGGAGGGTGGGGGAAGAGGTGGAGGAGGGGGAGTAGGGGAGGAGGAGGAGGGGGAGCGCGCACGTTATGGAACGTCGACGCGAACCGCGAACTGAGTGGAAGCGCCCGGCCAACGTTCGCTCGGCGATGACGACGATGACGGTGATATTGATGACGACAATAAAGACGATGTTGATGACGATAAAGACGACGCTGATGACGACGATATTGATGACGACAAAAATGTCGATGTTTACGACGACGACAACAATGCTGATGATGACGACGATGACGGCCACAGGTCTCGTCACGCGAACCCGGCCCGCCGCTCGTACCTGCGGCAGGGACTCGACGAAGTCGTGGAGGTTGGCGGCGCGGGCGGCGGCGACGACCTCGTCGCGCGACACCGCACGGCTCACGTCGCCGTACGCGATGTTTTCGGCGATGGAGCAGCCGAACAGCACCGGCTCCTGCGACACGACGCCCAGCTGCCGGCGCAGCCAGCCCAGGTTCAGCTGCCTCACCTCCACGCCGTTCAGAAGCTGCCCGCGCGCGCAGACAAAGATCCACCGTGTAGCGTTAAAAGACTGCCCGGGGCAAGTGCTGTTCAGCGGGCACCTATGAAGGCTGGCACGGCACGCGAGGGGGTGGGTGGCCAGCACCGCACCCGGCTGCCTTTGTCTCCCCAGTGGCGATGTTTTACACACTGCACCGGGTACTTGGGGAGGTTCAGGATAGGTTCTTTCACGCCGTACGTAGCCCACTGTGCTAATCGGAGGCGCGGTAAACTTGGTGTGGAACACCACTTGGTGTTGAACACCACATCAAGTGTTCCTCTCACTTTGGCTGTGGCTATTAGTCACGACAAAAAAAATAAACACAGCAAACAAAATGGCAAAAAATAAAACGAAAAAAGAGAAACGGGATTCATGAATTGAATTGTGACCCTGGAATTGTGACAAATCATGGCATCTCTACATGGAAAGGGGGCGGTGAGGGGGTGAGGGGATGGATCGTGATGACTTAATCTGGATCGGCACGCGTTCAGGGGCCGATCATCTTCATCGCGTCGAAGTCCAATAGTCCCACACGCGCGAGTGATCGTGGGACATGTTTGATCTCAGCGGGCGACACACAGTCAACTTGATTAGGCCTCTCCTGGTGGTAAAAGGCGAGTTGTAAAATAATTATCCATTCGCCACTGGGGGAAAGGATTTGATTTTAATTTAGTGCTCAAATGTCGTAGCATCTCGAAGCGCAGCTTTACTTCTAGCGAAGGAGCCGTGACAATTGAGGGTGAACTGCTTGCATAGCCGGCACCACGAGAATTGACTTGGTGGGGAGACCATCATCCAGGAGTGGATTGATCATGGCTGACGATGGTTCTATTATTGCGTATTGCAGCGATGTGTTCGGGACCTGGATGCCAAAGTCGTTGTCTGCTAGCCGTGACGAGAGGGCTTCAGGACGAAGAATTCGTGTCGCTTTGCTTTTCCTCCTCGTCCGTTGAAAGAGCGCAGGCCACATTTGTTGACTCTATCGATCCATAGTCTGGGTTGCATGGACATAATCGCACGACTGTGGCCTGTATCTATGGGTTTAACATATGGTCCATAGCTTGGTTTTCATTGCCACAATCACACTACTGCAGCAGCTTGTCTTTAATGTATATCTATGGGTTTCTATGTATCTCAATGTGTCTATGTGTCTTTATTTGTCCCTGTGTAGCTCTATGTGTATCTATGTAAATACTATACGGTCCATAGTTTGGGTTGCGATGATTTTAAATGCATGCCACCACCGAATGCTCAAATGAGCATGGGCTGTTGCAAATTTTATTCTTACAGCCCTAAGCTAGTGGTGGAAATTCCATATTCCTATGGTGGGTGGTGAGTCTATCCAGAATACACTATCCAGAGGATATTCACTTCCGAGAAAGTGGTTCCCGTTTAATCAACACCACAGAAATGATTGATGATAGTGAGCTGAGTTATTTACATTTGGAAACCTCAAGTGGAACTAATAATACATGTGTATGTATTAAACATGTATTGTTATTATTTTTAGCTGTTTTGCTTTTGTTCTTTGTTTAATTCAAAGTGTTTTTCTCTATGATCTATTTATTATGACTCCTTAGATAAGTAGACTTCCATTCTCAATGGGCTATTAATAATGAATTTTACTTGTAGGAACCTCCTGGTTACACCAGCCCACAGGGGATTATTGCGTCCGTCCGTCGTGCATCCAAAAATGGGAGGGGTGGGGCTGGGCGGAGAGGGGAGGGTGGGGAAGGGCTGGGTAGAGAGGGTGGGGAGGGGCTGGGTGGGGAGGAGAGGGGAGGGTGGGGAGGGGCTGGGTGGGGATGGAGGGGCTGGGTGGGGAGGGTGGGGCTGGGTGGGGGGTGGGAGGGGTGGGGCTGGGTGTGGAGGGGCTGGTCACCCCGTGGTGCCTTTATAAAACTCAACGTTTAACCTACTCACGCCGGCTTGTGCCCGCCCTAACAGTCGGCCATATTTGCGGAATACACCACGCCGCCGTTGACCCTGGCCATTGACCGAGCAACCCAATGTTCCTACCAGCTCCCTCCGCAGGAATGTGTTTTGTATGTACGTTGAACTTCTTTTGCACCGTACGTAGCCAAGTGTGCTTATCGGAGGTGCGGAGCAAGGACAATACACTAATAACAAAGAGAAGTTCTCAAGAAATTAATTTTAAATTTAGAAAGAAAGTGCATAGCTCCAGTGGCTTCCTAATATAGGAAGGAAAAGCGTTGCAGATGGACGCAGAAGCACATCTGAAAGCTCTCGATGCGGTGACCGTCTTTATTCGATGGTCAGCCAAAAGCCGCCGCTAGAATGAACAAAGTTTGTGGTGATGATTTATGCTCCTTGACGAGATCAGCGAGGCATTGGTGGCTCATTTGTGGCAATAACTTCGTGTGTAAAGCGCGTGACCTTACAGTTAATTAACTGTGACTGGTAATTAATACATTAATCTTAACAACTCGAAATCCTCCTCTCCCCAGGATAGCCAGATCCCCGCGGCCGCCTCTTGTATTCGGATGCTCTCTAAATGCTATTTGTGCCGCACAGCATTCATTGTATGTGTCAGTGCGCGCTAGTGGGCGGGGTTGGCAGACGAGTGGGCGTGGCCTGTGGGCAGTGGGCGTGGCGAGAGAGGGAGGCAGCCAATCGCCGTGCAGACAGCGGCCGAGTGGGCGTGGATAAGTGAAAGTGGGTGGGGCCGAGGGAGAATGAGGGGAATGCCGTTTCACACACAATGCCGTTTCACAATGGTTGAGCCTCATAAACTCGGTAGCTTTATAACACTGGGTACATGGGACTCCTCTGCTTGCGAACGAGTTAGGTTCCAGAGGTCTGCTCGTAGGTGGATTTGTTCGTAAGTCCAAATTTAATCCCGTCGATGCCAAACGTGTTGTACGGCACGTACACTAAACAAGAGGAATGGCTTTAAAAGTTGTATAATCTCATGTAGATGCCACTGCTTCTTCCTGTTCTGCAGATGTAGATGCCACCACCGTCATCTATTGCGCGGCGGTTGAACCTTATACTCTGGGTCCAAACAGCTGCAACTAGAAACACGGACAGGTTTGTTCGTATCTCTGAAAGTTCGTAAGTCGAATGTTCGTAAGTAGAGGAGTCCCTGTGTTCTGTCTCCCCCCCCCCTCCTATCTTCCCCCCTCTCCCCTGCATGCTCAGGATCTCTGTCTGTAAGTTCGTTGTACCACCTCCTCTTCCCCAATCATCCCCGCTCCCCCCCCAATTTAAAAACCCCTTTTCCCCCCACCTCGACCTCCCCCCCCCCGGCCACCGCTATCCCCGGCATTTCCGTAGCATGCTGGTTGTTATTCTTCCCCTACCCTTTTAAATCTTCATCTTCCCGCTAGTGAACGGTCGTCAATGGGGCAGGGCAGCAGCCCCCCCCCCTTTTCCCTTCTTTTCTCTCCCTTTAGCGCGGTTCCGTTACGCCGGAATGGATGACCGCCGAGTTTAGTTTTTGTACCCTGTTACTGGAACTTTTCGGACGTGGCATGCCGGACTCACGTTTTGTCGTAACATCAAAAAAAGCCACAAAACACTGGGTGTTCTGGGTCGCCTGCTCCCCACTGCCCTCCCAAGCTGCCTCTCTCCCTAAGATCCAGGTGGGGGCAGGAGGTGTGTTGGTGACGAACGGCAAGCATTGCGCCACCGAGCCGGACGCGGCGCTGCCCTCACCAGCTGGCCGGCGCTAGAGTCGTAGAAGCGCAGGAGCAGCTGCATGATGGTGCTCTTGCCGCTGCCGCTGGGACCCACCAGGGCCAGGGTCTGGCCCGGGGCCACGCGCAGGCTCACGCCGCGCAGCACCTCGGCGTGCGGCCGCGTCGGGTAGCGGAAGTGCACGCCGCTCAGCTGCAGCTCCCCGTCGAAGGCGTCCTGCGGAACGGCGGGGGACGGGCACGCAGCAAGGGGATGTTGGATATAGGATGTGAGATACGGGGGGGTCCCTCAAATGCACTGCTCATGATTGTTTCCCCGACCGTGGTCGGGCCCTCGTTCGTTCACTCATTTTGAGGGTGCAATAATTCCGGCCTGCTGCATGTTGTTCCTCCGTCCTTTTGATATTCCCACTGATATGTTGGGCTATGAAAGACAACATAAAAAATGCTTACAATAAAAGATACGGGACACAGGAAATTGAATATGGGACACGGGACACAGGACATACTAGAGGTAACAAAGACATTAAACGTGAGGCGTGGGACGGAGGATGTATAAGGGATATTGGACCTGAGGCAGATTGTGACACGTGAGAAGAGGAACATGGGATACAGGACAGAGAATGTGACACGTGACGTGGGAAATCAGCCAAAGAACATTGAACACAGGACAGAAGATGTGGTGACACGGGACACGTAACACAGGCACATGAGACGCGTAATAACGTGATATAGGACGCAGAACGGATGACATAGGTAGAAGCAATGTTCGGTTCCAGGGACCAGGGAAGCATGACACGTGGCGGTGAGGGCCAGCGAGCCTCACCGGCTGGATGCCGCCCTCGCTGTAGCTGTCAATGGCCATCTCGCGCCGCAGCAGGGCCAGGATGCGAGCCGCCGACACCTTGGCTCGGCCGTAGTTGGGCGCCATCGCCATGGCCTGGCCCACCGCCATGGCGCCGAAAATGATGGCACCGAACACCCTGAGGGGACAGTGCGCGTCTGCATCAGCGAGTCCCCTCGCTGCGGGCGACGTCCGCTAGGTTTCCAGTGCGAGCTCCGATTCAACGATTTGCCAGGGCCCCCTGAAGCCAACCGCTTAGATCGAAGACGCTGATGTTACACCGTTGCTTCCTCGTCAAGGGTTTTTTTCCTAAGTCTCTGACGAAATCGAATGAGGACGCCGCGTCACAGCGAGTTCGATCAACACTAATTTGATGAATATGTAATAATTTAATCAAAGGGGGTGATAAAGTACGTGCGTTAAGAAGGCTCGATGACCCACCCCCCCGCCCCCCCCCCCCAAAAAAAAATCCATGGGGACTCCGTGGCAACACTGCAAAAAGCCACCCCTTCTTGTGCCACGGTGAAACGAAAAAAAAACTGGGTTCGAATAAAAGCGAGAGAGGACCAGGGTGATGATGCCCCCAATAGACGCCGTCACTCCAGAAATGTTGATGCGGTCCAGAAGATGGCGATTTGCGACAGAAGATCAACAGGCAGGAACAGAGCTGAGGCAGTGGGTAACCAGGTGGGGGGTCATCCCGGTGAGACGTGTGGACAGGGCCAGATTAAGTTTGAGGAAAGCTCGGGGTTGTTATGGTTTGGGAGTCCCTATTTATTCAGTTCCTTCGACTGTTTTACCATTACCCGCGCCCCGTACCAAACACTCCATTGATATTCTCCCCGCTGATTTCAGTTTTTTTTTTACTGAGATGTATGCGAATTGCCATACAGCTACATTGATAAGTGACAACGAACAGATGTATTTCAATTTTGGCACAAAAGGTTGGCAGTCATACACACGGTGGTACCTTGTTAAATTACTGAGAGCAATGGTGCCCAACTATTCCTGGACGCGTGCGACTACTGTCAGCCCTCTAAAACGTTCTTCTCATGGACCACCACTCGGTTTTGTGAAAAAAAGAAAACACCGCAACAGCTCCGTGGACCACTTCGCGCGTGTGGCCTTGCGGAGCACCAGTGGCCTGCAGACCACATGTTGGGCACAACTGCTCTATAGTGTCGCGGATCAACTGTTAGAAAGTGGAATATAATTATTGAGATCGGGAATGGGGGAAAGATTTTGAGGCCCGGGCATCAAGCTAAAGTAAACTATTTTTATTTTACCAGGTAAGGCCTGCTGAGCAATATAAATATTTTTTATCTGAAGCGACCTGGCCACAAATGATGTGGCTCAATGACGTGGCTGATCACGTGGAAATTTATAGCAGCCAAATAATTGAAATGCACGTTGATTCTAAATTGTGGAAGGAAAACCAGAGGACCTGGAGAAAAATGCACGCAACCACAGGGAGAGAGACATGCAAACTCCAAATATACAGCAGGCGTCAGGGTCGGGATTGAACCCACGACCTCCTGCATACCAGACGGGGTAGTTCACATCTCAGGAACGTAGCGCATCAAAATCGGATGCCCCCCAGCCAGTAGCCCCTAAATGCCGAGCGGCTGCGTTGATCAACCTCCGCGTGCGTGCGAGCGAGCGAGCGTGCGTGTATGCGAGCGAGCGTGTGAGCGTGTGTGCGTGCGAGCGTGTGTGCGAGCGTGCGAGCGTCGATGCAGACTCACTTGTAGACGTCCTGGAAGGTGAGCTCCCTCTGGGCCACGAGGAACCCGCCCAGGCGGAAGACGGCCGCGTACGCGAAGCACAGGATGCCCTGGGTGAAGCCGAAGGTGACGCTGAAGAGGTAGCCCCTGCGCTTCATCACCCTGCGGGCGGCGCGGCGGGGGAGACGGGCGCGCAAAGTTCGCGATCAAAACGGTGGGGGAGGGGGGGGGTTGCAACGTGTGCGAAGTATTCCCTCGTAAAGTCACGTAGAAGGGAAATAATAAAATAATAAAAATAAAACATTATTAAATAATTCTCACGACGTTTCGGCCACAACGCAAGCAGCCGTCCTCAGGTGAAGAACAGGTCTGTCGGAAAGACAGCGTCTGAATGAACACCACTAAGCTTGGCAGCGTATATTTAAGCTGGTGGTGTTCATTCAGACGCTGTCTTTCCGACAGACCTGTTCTTCACCTGAGGACGGCTGCTTGCGTTGTAGCCGAAACGTCGTGAGAATTATTTAATTATGTTTTATTTTTTTATTATTTCCCTTCTACGTGACTTTACCGAAAGAACCAAGAAGATTAATCCCTGCAGTCACAAAAGCTTTAAATCGAAATATTCCCTCGTAATTCACGAACTTGCTAACTGCAATTTTGGCTATCCGCGAATCGCATCTGGAACTCTGCATCGAGAGAAAAAAAAAGAAAGAAAGTGATGATGCGAGCATTATAATTTAAGGTAAGTTCATTTATAAACTATTATTTAATAAATCTTGACTTTAAGCACGTACATGGTTCAAAGAAAATAACAAAAAACTACGACGTTTCGATCACAACACAAGCGATCGTCATCAGGAGGAAAACAGAGGAGCAAAGCTGCTGAGGCAGACTTTTTTTAAGGTTTAAAATGGATGTAGCCCAATGGTCATGAAATGGGCGGAGCTAGTTATGTTAATGTGAGAAATTAGCATGTTAATGTAACTAAGCGACATGTCTCGGACCGTGTTCGTGAGCATAAGGCAGATTTGAAACACGGTAGGACCGACACGTCGGCCGTGGCTGATCATTGTTTTAATGCGGATGGCTCACACGAAATTGTAAGCCCACTGGCTATCAACAAAGATTCGTTCATGAAGCCATCCACATATACAGACACAGACACAATTTCAACGGAGAAGATGGGTACAAACTTAGAATCATTGGAAGGACGTTATTAACGAGTTTTAGTCATAACTGGCTGTGATGTTCCCATCCTGCCACCTTCCGATGTTAGTTGTTATTTTCCGATTTTACATTAACAGGTTCAGTTTCTCACACCAACACAGCCACCTCCGCGCGCCGGTCTCGACGCAGCGGTGGCTCTGCGATCTTCCATTAACATGCTAATCTCTCACATTAACATGCTAATCTCACATGAACATGCTAATCTCTCACATTAACATGCTAATCTCTGACATTAACATGATAATCTCTCACATTAACATGCTAATTTCTCACATTAACATGCTAATCTCTCACATTAACATGCTAATCTCTTACATTAACATGCTAATCTCTCACATTAACATGCTAATCTCTTACATTAACATGCTAATCTCTCACATTAACATCACTAGCCCCACCCACTTCGTTTATTACCCTTGGGCTACACCCATTTTAAACCTTTAAAACAGACTGCTTTTTGCAGCTTTCCCCCTCTGTTTTCCTCCTGATGACGATCGTTTGTGTTATGATCGAAACGCCGTGGTTTTTGTTTATTTAATTTTATTAATTTGAACCTATCTACGTGACTTGACCGAAAGAGGCAAATATTATGATTTAATACTTTAACATTTATTTAATGATAACCAATTGTTATGTTATTATATTTTTTATGTATTTTAAATGTTTGTTTATTTATTTAAGGTAATCCAATAAAAGTTGTTCGTAGGCCACCAGCATTATCCGCGAAATTTGCCATTCACAAGCATCTCTGGAATGCATCCCTCGCGAATAACGAGGAGGTACTGTACATATGTTGAACTTCTTTCGCACCGTACGTAGCGAACCATGCTAAACGGAGGTGCGAAACAAACGTGTCTTCAATTTAGTCTCAAAAGTGCATAGGTGCGAGCGAAGAGTATTCGGTTGCTACAAATTTCCACGCGACAAGCCACTTTGTTGATATACCATTTGTGGCAAAACAGCCACACAGATAGCTCAGTGGGCCTTACCTGGCACAACAAAATAAATTGCTTAGCTTAGTAGTTTCAGAACGAACGGCGGTGGGTCGACGGTCCGCACCTGTACGGCTCCAGGAGGCACTGCTCAAACATCCCGCTGAACTTCTCCTCGAGGCACAGGGACGCCACCGTCCGGATGTTCTGCACGGCCTCGGTGGAGATCTGCGGCGAGTTCACGGCGTCGCTCCGAATCGTCGCTCAAGAACAACAAAGTCGCCCCGACAACGCGACCCGCTTGCACGAGTTCCACCCGCGCTCCCAATTTGGACGAATTATTGTTGTTGCAGTTGCAGTGGTTGCGAGATAAAACTACGCAGGTCTTCGTCGTTGTGTCTTGCAGTGCAGCTCCCCGGTGCATTCTCAGGTTGTGCCGCGTGTTGTTCGGCACCGCGTCCGACGTTTCTGTTTTCCGAAGAGTCTCCCGGAAGCCCGTTAAACATGCCCGACGTTAGGCCAACGTTGGCATGTGGTTGGAACCATTGGACCAACACGTCCCGATTAGCATGGTTGGCTACGTACAGTGCGAAAGAAGTCCAACATACATAATTGTTCACGTGAAATTGTGTCATAAAAATAACAAGGGCTACACAAGTGATGTTTTTTGTTGCGTGCGCACAGCCGTACGAGCAGAGTTTAATTAATTCCCGCTCGAGCGCGCCACCATAGAAATGTGGAATTCCCACCACTGACTTGGGGCTGTAAGAATACAATGAGCAACAGCTCATGCTCATTTGAGAATTCGGTGACAGTCATACATTTAAAATCATCATCATACACACAACCTTGGCCTCACGTTGGCCAAATGTTCCACGTTTCACCAGGGGGCGTCTCGACAATTTAAATGTCACGATTCCACCGCCGTCGCCGCCGCCAGCGCCACCACGTGTCCCTCCTCGCGCCGCGCGGACCGCTCACCTTGCTGGCCTGCTCGTACGCCCGCTTGATGGTGGTGGCCTCGGAGCCCTGCAGGACGCTCTGCACGAGGCCCGCGCCCACCATGAAGGGCATGAAGGCGAGCATGAGCAGCGCCAGCTTCCAGCCCACGAGCAGCGCGATCAGCAGGCCCGTGGCCAGCCCCGAGAAGTTCTGCACCAGCATGCCGGCCCGCCGACCTGTCGCCTGTATGGCACGGCACGGTCAGCCGAAATCCTAGAACGAGCCAAGCTATCGGGAGGCGTCGGCGGCACCTCTGTTTTATAAATTGGAGGGGCCAAGAGAGCGTTGTGATGGCGGTGGACAGGGGTCGTGGGGGAGAAGGGAGGGGGGGAAGGACAGGAGCGTGGGGCTGCGGTGATGCGGCAGATGTTAATTAGGAGCTAATTGGCTTTTACTGCATGGAGGAGCTGTAGCCGAGGGGATGGGATACAACGCAGCTCCTAGGCGAGAGCGTCTCACCCGCACCGAGGGACGATCACTTTTGTAAGCCTGCAGCACATCGCGTATTTTGTTGTTCAATAAACCAAGGCCGTAGCCATGGAGTCAACATTGGGGGGACCAAATCTTCCAGGGTGTCTGGGGGTCCCAACCCAGAAAAATATCTACATTTGAAAAGTCCTTTACTGCCTAAAATATAAAAAAATCACTAACACATGGAATGGACTTTTCTTTTATACAAAGTCTAATAGTGTATTGTATTACATTGCTCTGTTTTTACTTTTTTTACCATTTCTTGTTTCATTGTATGTAATGGCAGAGATTAGGGATTAATAAAGTACAACCATAACCACAATCATATAAACATAAATCTATGCATTGATTTATCTGAAGACAAGTCCAGATATTGTGGCCAAGGTTTTGCAAATTGTTATTTTTATTTGCATAGCAATTATTATTTTTAATAGCAATATATTGGGGGGACATTTTGAGCATATTTGAATATTGGGGGGGATGTTTAATTTTTGTATTACAATTACGGCCTTGCAATAAACAGCAGATGCTATCGTAAGAGTTACGCGTCACATCGTCATCGTCGTCGACAGCGCGACGAGGGAAACTCACCCCCTGGACCTGAGCCGCGTCGGTGGACAGCTGCGCCGTGAGCGCGCCGGTGTTGTTCTTGTGGTTGTCGAACCAGCTGATCTCCTGCAGAGCACATCCCAGCACCAGTACCATCATCAAACACCCCCAGAGGTCGCAAACGGGTTTTGATTCCTTACCCGTACCCGGCCGCACCAGGGTCGCAAACGGGTACCCGTACCCTACCCGATACCCGTACCCTACCCGTACCCGGTACGGGTACCTGATTGCGACCTCTGGGATGAAGCCATGTTGCAGGCGCGGGTGGGTTGATTCTAGGATCTTGAATTGTGAAAAGAGACAAGACGTTGGGAAATGAGTGACAAACGGTGACTCACCAGTGACTCACGGCCTACCCGTACCCGGCCGCACCAGGGTCGCAAACAGGTACCCATACCCGGCCGGGTACGGGTAGCCGGGTATCGGGTAGGGTACGGGTACCCGGTTGCGACCTCTGACCACCCCCCTCCCGCGTCATTCCTTCCAGCCGAGCGGCATAGCTTAGGGACCGTCCATAAATGACGTCACGCGATTTTGGACGATTTTTGACCCCCCTCCTTAGTCACACGGCGTCAATAAAAGTCAGACCCCCCCCTCAAATATGACGTCACAAAGCTCTGCCCCCCCCAAAAAAACATGCTTTAAATCGCTTTAAACTATTGTCATTGTAGTGCGTATTTAATGTGGCGCTGCACTTTGATGTTGTAGGAGAAAACATTTATTAAAAAGTCTATTTAATTAAGTAGAACGTGTTGTCTATATTTATTGAAAGTTGCGCATTTTGATGTGACGTCACATTTCTCAAACCCTCCCCCCTCGTCACACATCGTCACAAATGTCTGACACCCCACCCCCCCCCCCAGGTGCGTGACGTCATTTATGGACGGCCCCTTACCGAGCACGCAGGCGGCACAACTGCCCGAGGGGACTCTCCCCCACGGGGCCGACGAAGAGGTCGGGGAGCCGGGAGCGCTGGCGGTGGGTTGCCTGGGGGCAACGCCCCGGCAGCGCCGGTTTTTTGGGGGCATTGGCGACGGAGGAATATGCCCGGGGGCCGGTAGCCACGAGTTGGGACTCGGCTCGCAAAGCGGGGGGGGGCAGAGGTCGCGAACGGGTTTTGATTCTTTACTCGTACCCGTACCCGACCGCACCAGGGTCGCAAATGGGTACCCGTTCCCTACCCGTACCCTACCCGAAATGAGTGACAAACGGTTACTCACCGGTGACTCACGGCCTACCCGTACCCGTACCCGGCTGCACCAGGGTCGCAAACGGCTACCCGTACCCGGCCGGGTACGGGTAGCCGGGTATCGGGTAGGGTACGGGTATCGGGTACCCCGTTGCGACCTCTGGGGGGGGGGGGAGGCTGCAATTTCCGGATCTGCAGCCGGGCATTGCTCGCCCCACACCACGGTCGGCACGAGGGGGACGCGAGCTCGACCGTACGTGCGTCGAACTTCTTTCGCACCGTACGTAGCTAATCGGGAGGCGCGGTACGATTAAGTAGCCGGAAGGTCAGCGATGAACGAGCGAATGGATGCAATCCAGAAGACATCGCGGCTTTCAAGGACTGGAATCGTGCACGAGATCTCGGCTCCGGGCACTCCGTGGATGTCGCTGCCCCGTCATGGTGGCGTCGCGAGGCACCGCTGGCCACCAGCGTGCGTTGTGGCTCATCGGCGGAGCGAGCGGCTCGCGATGGGAATGTCGCAAGTTCAAACGCTGGTCTGGGTGTTGGCCCTGCCCATCATCCCTCCCGGGTCGATAAAGTGAGTACCTTACCACTTTGTGGAGAAGTCAACAGTGGTTCTCCAATGGAGAGACTCACCCCCACCATAAGAATGTGGAACTTTCTGCCCCTGTCTCGAAGTTATAAGCAAGATTTCTGATCTCCTATAGATTTATATAGCACCTTTTCCCGAGGCATTTTACTACAATTTTCCAATTGTACATAAGATGTTAGTGGTTGTGATAAAGAGTGGGGTTGTTAAGAGTGGTGGTGGAGGAGAACAGGCGAGAGTGGTTAAGGAGGGTTTGGGGTAGTGATAGGGGTAGTGATAGGGGTGGTGATAGGGGTTGGAGTAGTGATAGGGGTAGTGATAGGGGTGGGGGGTAGTGATAGGGGTTGGGTAGGGTTAGTGATAGGTGATAGTGATAGGTGTATTGATAGTGTTTGGAGTAGTGATGGGGTAGTGATAGGGGTAGTGATAGTGTTTGGGCTAGTGATAGGGGTAGTGATAGGGGTTGGGGTAGTGATAGGGGTGGTGATAGGGGTTGGGGTAGTGATAGGGGTAGTGATAGGGGTGGTGATAGGGGTTGGGGTAGTGATAGGGGTAGTGATAGGGGTGGTGATAGGGGTTGGGGTAGTGATAGGAGTTGGGTAGGGGTAGTGATAGGTGTATTGATAGTGTTTGGAGTAGTGATGGGGTAGTGATAGGGGTGGTGATAGGGGTGGTGATAGGGGTTGGGGTAGTGATGGGGTAGTGATAGGGGTGGTGATAGGGGTAGGGTAGTGATGGGGTAGTGATAGGGGTGGTGATAGGGGTAGGGGTAGTGATGGGGTAGTGATGGGCTATTGATAGGGGTGGTGATAGGGGTTGTGATAGTGTTTGGAGTAGTGATGGGCTAGTGATAGGGCTAGTGATAGGGGTAGTGATAGTGTTTGGGCTAGGCCTTGTCGTAGCTGGGGGCGGGGACAGGAAGTAGCAGTAGCAGGATTAGCTCGGGAGATGAGATGGTTGACTACGTATGGTGCGAAAGAAATTCAACATACAAGGGAGGAGATGAGTACCAACGCAATCCTCAAGTTAGTCGGAAACCACTCTGCCTTTTGCAGCAAAGCTCAGGGGCGTGTTCACAGATCACTCTGTGTGTGTGTGGGATGATGCCGATGATGACGACGACCACGACGATGAGCCGTGCGCTCTGTGGTTGTGGGGTCGCACCTGTCTGACCATCGCTTTGAAGCTCCGCTCACGGAGCCTCCGCGTCAGCACCTCGCCGGACTTCCCAAACGTGTAGCCCTGTGGGGCGCAGCACACCGAACCGCCCGGCCGTTATGATTAAATATCCTGAGTTCGATTCCCGGCCACGGCATATTGCCAGGTGAGCGATAATATCAAATCTCCCGCTCCGTCAGCACATGTACAATGCGCGAACGCATGCTTCCTACCTGTATGGTGTTCACCACTAAGGCTGACCCTCCGATGGCGATGAACATGAGGCACCAGAAGACCGATGTCTCCCTCTGCTCCTCTTCTGTGGGCAGCGTGAACGTCTGAGGGCGCAGGCGGACAACATGAGAACGCGGCTCGCTCATCACCTGGTCAACAAAGTGTCCATCCGGCCCGCTGGTGGCACAGCGGCGGTCGAGCGAGCGGCTCGCAATTTGGAAACTTCCGAGATGTTGACTACCTCGCCTGGTGTACAGGAGGTCGTGGGTTTGATCCCGACCCTGACGCCTGCTGTATATGAGGAGTTTGTGGAATCTCTCTCCCCGTGGTCGTGTGGATTTTTCTCCGGGTCCTCCGGTTTTTTCCCTCCACATTTAGAAACATGACGACAGTGATGACGATGGCTGCTACTGCAGCCAAATACTCTAAATGCATCCAGCAGTAGATTGATAATGGCTGCTGCTGCTGCTTCTGCCGCTGCTGATGATGATCTCAACGGTGTGATTACCGAGGCGCGCGCTGTAGCCTCACCCCGATCAGCTCGGCGAAGATGATGGCGAAGACCGGCTGGATGGCGCCGTTCACCGCGGCCACCATGATGCCCAGCAGGATGTACGGCCACTCGGGGGCGTTGAGCCTCAGCATCTGCAGGAAAGAGATCCCTCGCGCCGCCTTCTTCTCGTCCTGTCAAGAAAAACCGCCATCATCACAGTCGTCATCACTGACGTCATCACAGTCGTCATCGCAGTCGTCATCGCAGTCATCATCACAATCGTCATCGCAGTCGTCATCATAGCCGTCATTGTAGCCGTCGTCATCGATATCACCGCCATCACGCTCGCCGGCATCGTTCGTCGCACCTCCGATTAGCGCGGCTGGCGTAGCCGAGCGTGCGATTTGCAATCGTAGTACGACTGGGAGATAACAGAACAGAGATCTGCGTCCCGTCCCTCAGAGCATCAACAGCACGGCTGAGTCACCAACCTCATCCTCCTTCTGCTCCTCCTCGTCGTTGCCATCTCGAGCCGCCACCGTGAGCTCCTCAATCCCCTCGCCATCGTCCGGTGAAGCCCCCTTGTCCGTGCGAGCGACGGGCACGGGGATGTACGTGAGCGCCGGGCGGTCGCCGGGACCCTCTTCCGCGCCCGCATCGCGATTCTCACGCGGCGGCTCAGCGACTCCGACCGCGTCCTTCCCGCTCGACTACGAACGTCAATGGTAAGCACAGATCATCGTCAGTGTCGTCGTCATCGTCATCGGGTTCGATGTGTCCACTGCCGGACTAAGGTCTCTGCGAGACGTCACCATCCGCCACGGTCCTGCGATGCGGAAATGCTTCGAGCCGCAGCTCGCGAGTTGGATTCACCGCTCCATCTCCGCAGTGGAAGTACTCTCGGGAGGGTCCCCTCCCCTTGATCGACATTCTGGCATCAGGCTTCTATCTCAGCCGGTGATGTGTCCTGCCAATCACTGGACATGGGAGCTTTTTATTTTTTGTTACCACGTCTCACCGTGCTGGTAAATGTGGGTTTAGGGAGGGGAGGTCGCGGAAAGGACCGACTCGTCGATTTAACCGAGCTGTGAAGTTCTTGGCTTCGTGTATACGTTATAGGGAGGTAGAGGGAGGGGGGAGAGAGGAAGGGAAACAAGGGAGGGAGAGGGGGGGAGCGAGCGGAAGGACCAACTCATCGGCTTATCTGAGCTGTGAAGTTGTTGGGTTCAAACTTGATTTGGCGCTTTCGTGACTGCAGCAATTACTCTTTGGTTCTTTCGGTAAAGTCACGTAGTAAGAGAAAATAATAAATTAAATAACAGCATACGACGTTTCGATTGCAACACAAGCAATCATCATCAGGTACAAATGAAAGAGAAAACAAAACCTAGTAAACTTAGAAATACAATACAACACAGAGAGTCGGCTAACATAACAGTCAACACCCTATCTGTGTTGATTACGCTCTTCCAAAGATTGCTAAATTTAAGAGAGAGATTAAACACAGAACAGGAGACACATAGACAGACACGTAAGCAGAGAGAGATAACACAGAGACAAAGATCCCCCGTATAGCCTTAACAGACTGTAGGGGCAAGTGCTATTAGCGAGCACCTATGAAGGCCGGAACGGTACACGAACGAGGGGGTGGGTGGCCAGCACCACGCCCGACCGCCTTTGTCTCCCCAATGGCGATGTTTACACACCGCACCAGGTACTCATTTAAGGCTGAGTCGACCTAGGAGAGGCCCAGGACCGGTTCAGATAATCGTCACTGGTGTTAGCCGTGAGCGGGAATCGAACCCGGGTCGCCAGGTTCATAGCGCAGCGCGCTAACCGCTACACTACCGCTCCCCATATAACACAGAGACACACGGAGAGAGACAAACACATAGGCACACAGAGAAACGATGCTTCTGTGTCGAGGCCTTGTTGGGTTCGTCTATAAGTAAATCATGTATTTAGAGCAATGGTTCTTAACCTTTTTGGAGGTACTGAACCCCACCAGTTTCATATGCGCATTCACCGAACCCTTCTTAATTGGCAAAATAAAATATGATTTTTTGAAATTCAAAACATAGGTATATGTTTTACTGGTGCACAATCATATGAGTCGGGTGTGTGTCTTAACCTCCGCCGAACCCCTGAGACTGACTCACCGAACCCCTGGGGTTCGATCGAACCCAGGTTAAGAACCACTGAATTTTAGAGGGAGAGGGAGTGGGGGAGGGGGGGGGCACACCTGTGCCTGGGTGAGGTTGAAGTAGATCCCCCGGCGCTGCAGCAGCTCCTCGTGGCTGCCCATCTCGGCCACGGCGCCGCCCTCCAGCACGGCGATGGTGTCGGCGCTCTGCACCGTGGAGAGGCGGTGAGCGATCACCAGCGTGGTGCGGCCGCGGCGAGCCTGTGTGCACGCACGACGGGCGGTCGGTCGGTCAGCATCGGCCGTCCCATAAAAGATTCGAACTTTCGATGTAAAGCTTTGCGTGACCGCAGGGATCCATCTGCTTGGTTCTTTCGGTAAAGTCACGTGGAAGGGAGATAATAAAATTATAAAAATAAAACATGATAAAATACAATTCTCACGACGTTTCGGCCACAACGCAAGCAGCCGTCCTCAGGTGAAGAACAGGTCTGTCGGAAAGACAGCGTCTTTGTATTTTATTATGTTTTATTTTTATTATTTAATTATTTCCGAAAGAACCAAGAAGATTCGAACTATTAGCAGCGTTGAAGCTGTCGGGGCAAAGTGTGTCCGCTGATTTGCAAAGTGTCCTGTTTTGCTTCGGACCGGGTCCCCAAATTTTAGGCAATGCTTTTGATCAATTTGGTCAGTAAAATTTTTTTTTTTATATAAAAAGGATACGTCCCCATAACAACGCAACTTTGCACTCGAGTTTTGGTCATATTGGATCATCTTTACGAGAGTTATCGCGTGTGTCCCACCACCCCTCCGCTGTAACGGATGTACAGACAGAGCTAATGCCTAAACTTTTTAATTGCAGTTGTTCAGTATTGCGAAGTAGAAACGATGGAAACGAAACGGTAAACACGGGACGAAAAAACTATCGCACCGTGAATCAGATCACAACCCGGCAGGTCGTGAAAACTCAGGCAAGTTGCGTTGAGGCCGAATCGCCATAATACTATCGGCGACGATTTTGCATTGCGGCATTTCAAGCAGGAACCAAAGCCGATTGCAACTCTAACAGCGCCTTCTTGGTTCTTTCGGTAAAGTCACGTAGAATGGAAATAATAAAATAATAAAAATAAAACATAATAAAACAATTCTCACGACGTTTCGGCCACAATGCAAGCAGCCGTCCTCAGGTGAAGAACAGGTCTGTCCAGAACAACAATAACATTGCTTTTATTATGTTGAATTTTTATTACTTTATTATTTCCATTCTACGTGACTTTACCGAAAGAACCAAGAAGATGAATCCCTGCAGTCACGAAAGCTTTAAATCGAAATCTAATAGCGCCATCCGTCGTTGGCGCGCCGGACGTTTTGGGGTCCTTGGGGGCTGTGCCCGACAAAGTGGGCGACGTGCCCAGTCAAGGGGCAAGGAGGTCGAGGTCAAGGAGGTCGAGGTCAAGGGGGTCGAGGGCAAGGAGGTCGAGGTCAAGGAGGTCGAGGTCAAGGGGGTCGAGGGCAAGGAGGTCGAGGTCAAGGAGGTCGAGGTCAAGGAGGTCGAGGTCAAGGAGGTCGAGGTCAAGGGGGTCGAGGTAAAGGGGTCGAGGGCAAGGGGGTCGAGGTCAAGGAGGTCGAGGTCAAGGAGGTCGAGGTCAAGGAGGTCGAGGGCAAGGAGGTCGAGGTCAAGGGGGTCGAGGGCAAGGAGGTCGAGGGCAAGGGGGTCGAGGTCAAGGGGTCGAGGGCAAGGAGGTCGAGGGCAAGGAGGTCGAGGTCAAGGGGGTCGAGGTCAAGGGGGTCGAGGGCAAGGAGGTCGAGGTCAAGGGGGTCGAGGTCAAGGGGGTCGAGGGCAAGGAGGTCGAGGGCAAGGAGGTCGAGGTCAAGGAGGTCGAGGTCAAGGGGGTCGAGGTCAAGGAGGTCGAGGTCAAGGAGGTCGAGGTCAAGGGGGTCGAGGTCAAGGGGGTCGAGGTCAAGGGGTCGAGGGCAAGGAGGTCGAGGGCAAGGAGGTCGAGGTCAAGGGGGTCGAGGTCAAGGGGGTCGAGGGCAAGGAGGTCGAGGTCAAGGGGGTCGAGGTCAAGGGGGTCGAGAGCAAGGGGTCGAGGTCAAGGGGGTCGAGGTCAAGGGGTCGAGGGCAAGGAGGTCGAGGTCAAGGAGGTCGAGGTCAAGGAGGTCGAGGGCAAGGAGGTCGAGGGCAAGGCGGGTGTTGTACCCGGTCGAGGGCGGCCTGCACAATGCCCTCACTGGCCGTGTCGAGCGCCGACGTAGCCTCGTCCAGCACGAGCACGCGCGGGTCCCGCACGAGCGCGCGCGCGATGGCGATGCGCTGCTTCTGCCCGCCGCTCAGCTGCGTCCCGCGCTCCCCCACCGGCGTCTCGAACCCCTGAACGGCAAAACGAGCATGTCAAAGCCATCGCAATCATCGTCATTAATATCGTCATCATCGTCATCGCCATCATCGCCATCGTCATCATCAAAATCGTCAACACCGTCATCGTCATCACCATCGTCATTATCATCAACGAGTACGGTATTCCCTCGTTCTTCACGAACTTGCTATCCGCAATTTTGGCTACTCTCAAATCGCATCTGAAACTGCACAGACTACATCAAGAGAGAGAGAAAGAGATGAAGAAAGTGACGAGATAAAGTGCTACCGTCTCCCACGGCTACGCAACATTGGCAGTCCCTATGCCAAGCACCTGCACGCGATTGTTCCAGGCTGTGTCTGACACTCCGTCGTTCATCTTGACTACTTTCATGAACAGTCAATGTGAGATCTATCTAACCAGTGGCATTTTACATCATTGCTTCTCATTATTATTGCTCATAATAAAGGTTTTTGGGTTAGACCGTGTTATTTATAAATGTGTCGCAATCCCCCACCACCCGACACGGCCAATCAGTAAAAAAAATTCACTACTTTAGCCCACCGGTGTGTTGAAGAGTGAATCCACAACATTTACAATTTTTAGTACGACGTTTTGCTGGTAATGACATCCAGCATCATCGTCAAAACGCCTCGCAGATCCTACTACAGTCTGTTCTGCTGTGGTGTGTGTGGATTTCATCACGCGAATTGGATACGACGCAATGAATGAGGGAACACATTTTTGTTATAACACGGATGCGAATTGAATATAACGTGATCGAGCCAACGTAACTACGGCGCGTGAGTAGGAGTAAGCGGCCGTACGGCTGCCTTGGCGTGGCATCACACAAGGCAGTGGGATGCTGCTGGATTCTTCAAGATGCTACCCACACGCCTCGGTCTTTGTTCGGCCTGCGTACGCATCTCACGTGTTATCACGGACTGTGCTTTGCATTACATATTCTTCATTACATCGCAATTTTTCCATAACGTGGTGTTCTTCAGGAACGCAAGCTACCACCGCGTTACAGACTGCATCGATAGCTATTCTCGTAACCCTCCACCACCCGACACGGCCAATCAGCAAAAAAAGTGTCACGTTGACAAAAGACAAATAGTACACTGCTTTAGCCCACCGGTGTGTTGAAGAGTGAAACCACAACATTTACAAAAAAAAAATTGTAAATGTTGTGGTTCCACTCTTCAACACACCGGTGGGCTAAAGTAGTGAACTATTTGTCTTTTGTCAACGTGACACTTTTTTTGATAGCTATTCTCGATTGTCACGATTCCCCGCCGGAGTCCGAGCGGTGGCGGCAGCGGCGGCAGCGGCGGCATCACCTCCGGCAGCGCCGCGATGAAGTCGTAGGCGTAGGCCTCGCGCGCCGCTCGCTCCACGTCGCCGCGGCTCACGCCCTCGCGCCCGTACGCGATGTTCTCGGCGATGGAGCAGCCGAAGAGCACCGGCTCCTGCGACACGACCGCCACTCGCTCCCGCAGCCAGTGCACGTTCAGCTCCCGCACGTCCTCGCCGTCCAGCAGGACCTGGGGGCCGCCCCGTCGCGCAAACGGCGAGTCAAGCGGCGGCGGACGCAGCGACGCTCGGACCACGTGTGGGCCAGGGCAGTTTTTTTTATTTTTTACCAAGGACATGTTGATCAATTTGCCAGGCATGGAAAGTCTGCAACAGCTTAATTGTGTATTTATTCAGAGATATGTCAAGCAGTGTGAGGGAACAAAGGTGAAATGTTTTGATCTGCAGTGAGGTGATGGACAAGTTTTTCACGGCCCTCAGATCTGTGGGGGCCTCAATAAGAGCTCAAGGGGCACCAGACGGGGCCTCATCCAGCATATGGTCCCTGGCCTCCAAAATGCTCTTCATGGCCCCTGGTTTTGTCTAAATGTCCGTCTCAGGACGATTTGCTCATTTTCACACGAAAAAACTCCCTAACCAATCGCTAGGAAATCATTCACATGAGCGAAATTGTAAAATGAATACTCTCAAAACATTATTATTTTCTCTATGCTGCATACCCAAGCAATCACTGCACGCGTGTTAGAACACATGTGCACATGTGTTTGCACACGTGCCTACAGCATTACAAACCTGTCCCTTTATGGCTCCCTTAATAAAATGGCTTTGCCAGCTTGTTTAATGTAATTGGTGGTGGTGCACTCCCTCAACGGAGAAACAGCAAAACTACACAAACTCCTTGTCCCTTGAAGCCCTCTCATCGTGGCAAGCAGAGCTCAATATTGGCATTTAGCTCCTGAACATATTTCCACATGCACGAAGAGTGATAGTGGCGGCAGTGGTGATGGTGGTGATGGCGGTGGTGATGGCGGTGGTCATGGTGGTGGCGGCGGTGGCGGTGGGGGTGACGGTGGTGATGGTGATTGTGGTGGTGATAGTGGTGGCAGTGGTGATGGTGGTGATGGTGGTGGCGGTGGGGGTGATGGTGGTGATGGTGATTGTGGTGGTGATAGTGGTGGCAGTGGTGATGGTGGTGATGGTGGTGATGATGGCGGTGGTGATGGTGGTGGCGGCGGTGATGGTGGTGATGGTGATTGTGGTGGTGATAGTGGTGGCAGTGGTGATGGTGGTGATGGCGGTGGTGATGGTGGTGGCGGCGGTGGCGGTGGGGGTGATGGTGGTGATGGTGATTGTGGTGGTGATAGTGGTGGCGGTGGTGATAGTGGTGGCAGTGGTGATGGTGGTGGTGATGGCGGTGGTGATGGTGGTGGCGGCGGTGGCGGTGATGGTGGTGATGGTGATTGTGGTGGTGATAGTGGTGGCAGTGGTGGCGGTGATGGTGGTGGTGATGGAGATTGTGGTGGCGATGGTCATGTCGGTGGTGATAGTGGTGGCAGTGGTGGCGGTGATGGTGGTGGTGATGGAGATTGTGGTGGCGATGGTCATGTCGGTGGTGATGGTGGTGGTGATGGAGATTGTGGTGGCGATGGTCATGTCGGTGGTGATAGTGGTGGCAGTGGTGGCGGTGATGGTGGTGGTGATGGAGATTGTGGTGGCGATGGTCATGTCGGTGGTGATGGTGGTGGTGATGGAGATTGTGGTGGCGATGGTCATGTCGGTGGTGATAGCGGTGGAGGTGGTGCCCGTGGTGGGGGCAGCTCTCACCTGCCCCTCCTGGGGATCATAGAGTCTCTGCAGCAGCTGCACGCAGGTGCTCTTCCCGCAGCCGCTGGGCCCCACCAGCGCCACCGTCTGTCCCGGCCGCACCTCCAAATCCAGCCCATTCAGAACCTGACACCAGCCGCAGTCGTCTTAGAGAAACCTCAGACTCGTTTGACCATACTTCACCATGTGGGACCCTTTTGCCAGTATAAAAAGTGATGAAGAAACAAGAATAGGCGTTAAATTTTGACTTGAAACTTTCGTGACTGCAGGAATTCATATTCTTTGGTTCTTTCGGTAAAGTCACGTAGAAGGGAAATTATAAAATAATTAAAATATGACATAATAAAACACAAATAAAATAAAAATAAAATAGCTTTTATTATATTTAAATATATATTTTATTATTTCCCTTCTAGGTGACTTTACCGAAAGAACCAAGAATAATAAAGTCAATAAAAAAAAATTAAGAAAAAATAAAAATAAAAAACAGGACGTTTCGATCCCTTGTGTTGCCATAGAAACGTTGTGTTTTTTATTTGTATTATATATTTTTTTGCATTCACTTTGTTATTATTTTTCTATCTACGTGACTTTACCGAAAGAACCAAAGAATTAGAATAGGCGTTTACCCATTTCTGGCAATAAAACAGGAGGTGTTCAAAGACAAAATCGATATACCTATTTCAAGGCATTGAGTCTGCATCAACCACACATATTTGCGGCAAAACATGCAAAACAAAGACGCTCTGATAATATACGCATCTTAACACCAGTGTTATCTTCAGAAAGGGCAAACCCTATTGTTATCATCCATCATGCTTCACCACTCTGGTCGATGAGGGTTAGTGATTGGGGAGCGTGGGGGGGGCACGGTGGGGCGGGGGTTTGGAGAAGTCATCGTAGCCATGATCGGCAAGTGAGTTTGGGTCACAGAGTTCACTGTGACTCGCTCAGTGGCACGCATTTCAGTGTCTCTGGAGGAGTCAATGAACTGTGGAATTGACCCCTGACCGGAGTTCGAACTTGTGGCTTCATGATTAAGGGCCCCAATGCTCTTACCACAGTGCCACAAATTCCGAATGTATTATTTGGTAGATGTAGTGTTTCATCATCGTCGTTGAATCCGTCTATCTTACCTGCTGTCATATGGATGAGAAACATGGACACTGACAAAGAAAATGGAACTAATGTACTATGAAGAGTGGAGAGGATGTACGATTGGAATGACACGAGAGACAGGAAGAGGAACACGTGGTCTAAACCACCCACTCCACCCCAAACCACCCACTCCACCCCAAACCACCCACTCCACCCCAAACCACCCACCCACCCCAAACCACCCACTCCACCCCGAACCACCCACCCACCCACTCCAAACCACCCCACACACCATTGCCCCCGCACCTTATTGTCCTTCCTCCTCACCTCCGATGAGCACGGTTGGCTACGTATGGTGCTAAAGAAGTTCAACATGAATACATTCACCCACCCCAAGCCACCCCGGCCGTCGCACCTGCACGTCGGGGCGAGTCGGGTAGCTGAACTTGAGAGCCCTGAAGCGGATGTGCCCCTGGGTGGACGAGGGCCGGCGCCCCGAGTCGGCGGCGCTGTCGATGGCCGGCGTGCGCTTGATTATAGCCAGCACGGGAGTGGCGGCGGCGCGCGCCGTCGAGATGTACTCCATCTGGCTGGCGGCCTCCCCCAGCGAGGACGCACCGATCAGCACCGAGAAGAACACCTGAGTCGACACACAGCGCGGGGGGGGGGAGGGAGGCCGGAAAAGGATTAAAAAAAAACAACCGCTGGTGACCATGGGCACTCGCCGCTACAAACGCCCGTGGTTGACGCTTTTGGTGGCACATTGGCGTTTCTCGAGTGGATTGCGAGGCCGGATCGGCGTGGAAAATCCTGACCTGTGGTGCCGAATTCACGGCCCAACTCGACTTGAATAGCGGCGTACGTGGAAAGGCGCAACCCTGGTTCGGGCTCAGGGTTACGGTTCGAGTTTATTTTGTTTAGGCAAGTGGGAACTTGAGCAACCAGGATACAGAGTCTCGTTTATGAGAGGGATTTGGGCTCACCAACTTGACAAAAACCAAGCAAATAAAAAAATTCGTCACCTCTTAAAAACTGCGGCGTGTTTCTTCGGGGAGAGTACACTTATACTCGTGAAACCCAGACAAAGTGTTGTTTCACATCTGTGTGTGTGCCGCAGTGAAACCAGGCACAAGAGCGTTGCGCACACACGGGGCGAGTACAGCGGCGTAGCGTGGCTTGCACGGGCCCCCCGATGCCGGAAATGAAATGGGCCCCCCCCACCCCGCTGTCCAATTTCGCCGTCTACGTGGCCCAGCGACTGCGCACTCTCCCGGCCCTGCACGCTCGACAACCACGGCGGCACTTGGGGGTCGAGCGGCTCGGCTCACCGTGATGAGCGTGCCAACCGTGTAGTCGTCGCTGTTTGGGTCCAGCACCAGCGTGGTGCCGTACCAGAACGCCAGGCCGTACGTTCCGTACACAACCAGCATCGTCATCCCGATGCCGAAGCCGTTGATGAGGCTCTTGCGCAGCCCCATCTTGCTCGCCGGCGCCAGGCTCCGGCTGTACCTGTGGCGGGATGGGCGGGGATGGGAGCGACGCTTTAGTGGGGAACAAGCATAACCCGCAATAACAAAGTTTTTCACTATAAATCCTTTATATGCGTGGCGGCTAGAGTCCTCTCGTCCTCTGGCTTGAGATGGCTGCCACCTATGGGTCAGATGATTACATTGCACCATTAAGCAATTGGTAAGTAAATATAATATTTTTGTCCTAAAAAGTGTAAAATTTTGGAAAGAAATTTTAACGAACATTAATTGTCACGCACAACGAGTCTGTGTGGAAAATGTCAGCTCGATTGGATCACGGGAGATTAAACTGGGTCTCAATGTCGAGTGAGGTGAGTGTTTCAGCCCAGTTACCGATGACTGCACGCAAAAAAACATCAAATTAAATTTGGCGATGCTCTCAAATGGGATAAACTGCAGCTCTGAAACTTAAAATACGTCTTCATGGCGAACGTGACTCAAGGTGGCAGGGTGCGAGAAAATCTGCTGCCCTCTACTCTGTGGACCAGGGATCAATTGAAGGGATCTCAGAGATAGCTCTGTGATATCCGCTTCTGTGGGCCGTTCTCAAACGCGAAGGGTTGCACTTCCTCCGCAAGAGACCCCAATGGATTCACCTCATGACATGACACCGATAACACAATCGCGATAAAATTAAGAGAAACGTTTTTGCGAAAAAGATAGCACAGTACAGATAACGAATGCAGTCAGATATTCTATAAAGATGTTCGCCGTAATTTGACAACTCCAACGATGCATCTCTCACCGCTCCACCTCCCGCGCCTCCCCTCCGAACGCCACGACGGTGCGGATGTTGGAGAGAACCTCGCTTGCGATGGCTCCCGCCTGCCCGTACGCCGCCAGCTCCTTCCTGCTCAACGCCGTCGACGCCTGCAGCGCGCCGTTGAGACAGGATGGGACGGGATGAGATGGGGTGAGACGGGATAGGAAAGGATGGGACGGGATGAGATTACATGGGATTGGACGGGATGAGATGGAATAGGATCAGATGGGATGAAATGGGATTGGACGGGATGGGATGAGAGGGGATGAGATGGGATGAGAGGGGATGAGAATGGACGGGATGGGATGAGGGCCGCCAAACATTTGAAACGGTTGGGGTTTTGACAGCATGATGGGGGTGTTTTCACATTTGTGTATTGTCGGCGGCCCCATGTCAGGGTCTGCACTAAAGCCCACCGGGGGCCGCCGGTGGCCCACGTGCCTTTCAACGAAGAACACTGATGTAGTGCAATAGAATAAAATAATGCTCAACTCTTTTCCGATTCACTGGAAGATGAAGGCCTCCGCATTCCGTGTCAATCATAAGCATTGCTCGACCATACTTCCCCGCGCTCGTCGGTGTTAGCCGGTGTAGTCTAAGGAGTCCAGGACAAGTTGGGGCTATCACCCGCCACTCATGGTAGCCGTGGTCGGAACTCAAAGCAGGGGTCGCCGGATTCATAGCGCAGCACGCTCACCGCTGCGCCAACTGCTCCACACCCCTCAGTGGATGGTGGATTATAAAATAAATTAAACGAGACAAAGGGCTTTGCCCTCACAAAACAAAATAAATAAATAAAAACGCTGCTTCAGAAGGCCATTTGCCTTTGGAATATCAACGTTATTTTACGTTTTTTTTGTTCTTTATATTTGGCTGGGTAAAGCGCACCCTTGAGTGTTTATTTTGGTGTTACATTTACCCACAATCACCCAAGACGGGTGCCCTAATAAATCTGGTGAGAGCGCGACTCTCGCGCAAACGCCACGGCGACCGAGGATCGCGTAAACTTTGATAAACGCCGGGCGGTAGATACGGTGTTTTGAGAAAGCGGTTTCTCCAATGTCACCCCGACTGACGTGGAGCCTTGAGGAGCCTGAGCTCTGCCCTTGGACAACCACGTGGCCCACTGCATCATTGTCGTGACCGTATCGCCCGGAATGTCTACATCACTGTCACCGCTACATCTGCGAGTCGTGGCGCCATGGGCCAGGCACTGTGGAAGTTAGGACGTGGAGGGTGGGGGGGTGGTGGGGGGTGGTGGAGGGTGGTGGGGGGGGGGTGGTGAGGAGAGGAGCGGGGGGGGGTAGAGTCCGACCCGTGAATGGTTCCCAGTGGTTGTTGACGCCGCATTGGTGAGATGTTAACTCCCTCGCCTGATATGCAAGAGTTCGTGGGTTCGATCCCGACCCTGACGCCTGCTGCTGTATATTTGGAGTTTGCATTTCTCTATCCCCATGGTCGTGTGGATTTTCCTCTGAGTCCTCCGGGGTTTCACTCCGCATTTATAAACATTCTTTTCGAGTATTTGGCTGCTATAAATTCCCACATCATCTCCATATTGCTGGAATGTCTATTCGATAACCTAGCCATCAAGCGAAGACGGTCGCTGCATCGCGCGCTCTCAGATGCGCTTATGCGGCCGTCTGGAACGCTCTTCCACCCGATCTTAGGAAGCCACTGGAGCTATGCACTTTTAAATCTAGATTGAAAACTAATTTGCTAAGATCTGCTTTTTCTGTTTAGTTTGTGGTCCTTCCCCCGCACCTCCGATTGGCGCGGTTGGCAATGTACGGTGTGAAAGAAGCTCAATATACATATATGATAAGCCACTTCGTTGATCTATCATGTGTGGCTAGGTCGCTTCTGAAATAGGTGAGCCTTACCTGCTAAAATAAAAATAGATTAGTTGAATAGTTAAAAAATACTTTCATTACAAATCCACAGTGAGCCGCTATGAGAGCATTACTGTTGTTATGCTATATGTAGGATTAACAAACCATATTTAACTTTGACCAGGACTGGGACATTGTGGGTGAGAATTGGCCACAGCTAACCGTGCCGTGATGTTTCTTAGCCACAGCTAACCATTCCGCAGGTGTCTCTTAGCCACAGCTAACCATGCCGTGGTGTCTCTTAGCCACAGCTAACCGTGCCGCAGGTGTCTCTTAGCCACAGCTAACCGTGCCGCAGGTGTCTCTTAGCCACAGCTAACCGTGCCGCAGGTGTCTCTTAGCCACAGCTAACCGTGCCGTGATGTTTCTTAGCCACAGCTAACCATGCCGTGGTGTCTCTTAGCCACAGCTAACCGTGCCGTGGTGTCTCTTAGCCACAGCTAACCGTGCCGTGGTGTCTCTTAGCCACAGCTCACCGTGCCGTGGTGTCTCTTAGCCACAGCTAACCGTGCCGTGGTGTCTCTTAGCCACAGCTAACCGTGCCGTGGTGTCTCTTAGCCACAGCTGACCGTGCCGTGATGTTTCTTAGCCACAGCTAACCGTGCCGTGGTGTCTCTTAGCCACAGCTAACCGTGCCGCAGGTGTCTCTTAGCCACAGCTAACCGTGCCGTGATGTTTCTTAGCCACAGCTAACCATTCCGCAGGTGTCTCTTAGCCACAGCTAACCGTGCCGTGGTGTCTCTTAGCCACAGCTAACCGTGCCGTGGTGTCTCTTAGCCACAGCTAACCGTGCCGTGGTGTCTCTTAGCCACAGCTCACCGTGCCGTGGTGTCTCTTAGCCACAGCTAACCGTGCCGTGGTGTCTCTTAGCCACAGCTAACCGTGCCGTGGTGTCTCTTAGCCACAGCTGACCGTGCCGTGATGTTTCTTAGCCACAGCTAACCGTGCCGTGGTGTCTCTTAGCCACAGCTAACCGTGCCGCAGGTGTCTCTTAGCCACAGCTAACCGTGCCGTGATGTTTCTTAGCCACAGCTAACCATTCCGCAGGTGTCTCTTAGCCACAGCTAACCGTGCCGTGGTGTCTCTTAGCCACAGCTAACCGTGCCGTGGTGTCTCTTAGCCACAGCTAACCGTGCCGTGGTGTCTCTTAGCCACAGCTAACCGTGCCGTGGTGTCTCTTAGCCACAGCTAACCGTGCCGTGGTGTCTCTTAGCCACAGCTGACCGTGCCGTGGTGTCTCTTAGCCACAGTTCACCGTGCCGTGGTGTCCCGACACCCGCGACGCCTACAGTATCTATGCCTCTGCGGCAGATGCTCTGCCTTCGCCAGCGCGTGTTGCAATCGCTCGGCTCGATTCGTGCGCTGGAGTCTTGCGACATTGCCCAAACACGTTGCCGGCGAAGGTCAAGGCATCGGCTGAGCGAAGGTATAAATGACTAACTTGTTTTGGAATGTTGCCCCCGTGTGCCCAGATGCCCACAAACCCAACCCTTGTTGCCATTATAATAAAATATCATTATTAATCGGGCGCCGGCACAGCGCCCAGATCCGCCCTGTGTGTGTGCGCTTCCACCGGGGTGGGGAGAGCTCGTGTCGTGTAGCCGTTCGCACGCTACGCTGCGAACCCGGAGACCCAAATTCAATTCCCGCTCACGGCCAACAAGATTATCTGAACCGGTCCTTGGCCTCCCCTAGGTCGACTCAGCCTCAAATGAGTACCTGGTGCGGTGCGTAACCTTCACCGATGGGGAAACAAAGGCGGCCGGGCGTGGTGCTGGCCACCCACCCCCTCGTGTGCCGTGTTGGCCTTCATAGGCGCTCGCTAACAGCACTTGCTCCAACAGTCTGCTAAGACTATACAGGGGATCTTTGTATATTTTTTTGCCCTCACCTTGCCAGCGCCAACGAAGATAACCGGGTGGCACCCACACACCGTGTCACTACTTGCAAATCGGTAATCTCTGCCCCTTTGCAATTTGATTTCTAAAATTACGTTTTAAGTATGTACCTCTCAAGTAGAGATTATTTTATGATCTTGCATTTGGCAGTAGTGCACAAGGACAATTAATTTAAAAAAAACTCAACGCATTCGCCAAAAAAATCCCTGTGGCCTTAAAAGAAAAAAAATATTGATATAATAAGTGGTAAGAATAGGTTTTACCCCTTTCTGACAATAAAACAGGAGGTGTTAATACGTTCAAACACCAACTAGATACCTTTGGCAGGGAATCAAGTTCGCATTAACCACAAGTACTTGTGATGAACATGCAAACAAACATGCTCTGATAATAGATGGCATTGTCTTTGAAACTGATTGGCTTACACCAGAGACAGCATCCTTCTTGATGGCCTCGTCCCATTACCAGTGTCAGACCAGAGAACGTCAAAGTACAAAGACAATGCACGTATCAGAGCATTTGTAGCTCGGGGTGAGCAGCTATATAATGCAACCTTTTTGCCAGTATCATGCTTTGATGCTGGCAAAAAAAGGTACCATGATATAAAAAGTGACATTTCAGGCGATTTTAGGCGATGGCCTTCATCGAACAGAGAGGGCAGAGAGAAATAATTAATAATGGTTGGACACCGCAAGTTACACCATGATGAGAATTACATTTTGATGACCAGAATTTAAATAGGCATATGACTAGTTGCCTAAAATTAGCCATTGAGTGACATACGATCCCTTCAGGAATGAAGAAGTAATACTCCGAAACAAACTTATTTGATTTCAAAGTAAAATTATAAAATGTTGTTGGCGCCTTGCATTGTGGGATGTAGCAGCAGATTTTCTCATTACTGCTTGATGCAATTATGTAATCACACGAACCCATTGTGGCCACTCGAGACGTTACAATATACTCTTAGGTTTTTTCGGTAAAGTCACGTAGGTAAAAAATAATATTAATAAAATATTAATAAATGAAAATAACTAAATTAAATCACGACGTTTCGGAGGCAACACAAGTCTCCGTCTTCAGGTGGGACCGTCACAGCCAAATTTACTGTATCAAGTGACTGTGACGGTCCCACCTGAAGACGGAGACTTGTGTTGCCTCCGAAACGTCGTAATTTAATTTAGTTATTTTCATGTATTATTATTTTATTTTATTATTATTTTTATTTTTTACCTACGTGACTTTACCAAAAAAACCTAAGAGTATGAATCATTGCAGTCACGAAAGCTTCAAATCTAGAACGTTACAATGTACCTCTCAAAATATATCTATTTTTGAAAAAGTTGAATCACAACCTCGAATCACGACAGGGGTTTGAAAAGCAAATGTTGTTGGAACAAATTGTCACAATTCAAGGATCGATTTGTTTTTCTCTGCCTCCTTTTGCACCATCTCGTTTGTATTGTTGTCTATCGTTGTGGGACCGGCACTCGCTCTCTTGTCCCGCGTGCTCAGAATGTATCGCAAAAGCCCTGCAGGGCCCCTTAAGCATCTTTGCGCAGACAATTACTTTATTTTAAAGCTTCTTATGCAGCCTCTGCAACGATCCTCCCCAGGATGGATTAATTCGGTCACGCATTATCCCTCAGCTTCCCCCCCAACCGAAAGCTATTACCGCATTGTTGACAAAATAAAACATTTGCGCGTTAAACTTCACAGAACTTCAGCGCACGCACAAAGACAAAGATCCCCCGTCTAGCCTTAACGGGCTGTAGAAGCAAGTGCTCTTAGTGAGCACCTACGAAGGCTGGCACGGCACACGAGGTGGTGGGTGGCCAGCAACCAAGCTCGGCCGCCTTTGCCTCCCTAGTGGCGATGTTTACGCACCGCACCAGGTACTCATTTGAGGCTGAGTCGACCAAGGGAAGGCCCAGGAACGGTTCAGATAATCGTCACTGGTGTTGGCCATGAGCGGGTCGCCGAGTTCGTAGCGCAGCGCGCTAACCGCCACGCCGCCGCTCACACGCGTGCGCTTGCGTAATAGTTGCGTGCTATCAGCAGCATTTATTCCTGCACATGGCTTTCTGTGACGATGCAACTGGTAAGCCGCTCGCACTTTTGCCACTCTTAACCTTTGCACGCTCGAGCACAGCACTCGCACAGGGGGCGGGCTCCCATGTTGATCTGCAGACAGACCCAGAGTAACCCTCCGGAGTCACCGACAGTCACCCCTCGGGAGTGAGAGAATCACCGCGAGACTAGACCCTTTGCTCACAAATTGCCCTGACAACTCCTTTTCGGGCGATATCAAGCGCGACCGGCAGGAAGCACCGTGTTCGGTGACTTACCTGGCCGATCGGGTTCAGGTGTTAAGGTGCAACGCGGCAGGCAGGTGAATGACCGACACGAACCTACTGCGTGAACCGAAGTAAACTTCGAAGTGGCACACAGCAACCCCCGTTCATCATCACTCAACGTTCTTTTCATATTTGTATGTTTTTGTCTTTCTACCCCCCCCTCCCCCCACAATATATTCCCAAGGTGGTATCGGTGTCACGTGATGAGGAATACGTTCGTTCTCTTGCAGGGCAGGTGCAATGCTTTGTGATACAGAAGATCCCACGGAAGCGGATATCACAGAACTAGTTTTTTATTTATTTGCTAATTGGTGCCCAGGAATGCATTGCGAAGTGGGTTGTGTATTGCGCTCACAAGAACAAATCTTCGCACGTTCCGATGTGCCAGCAACATTTTAAATATTTTAGTTTGAATATAATTGAGTTTATTTCGTAGGAATACGTTTTGATTATTGAAGGGGTTGTCTGTTCCTCAATAGCTACTATTAGTATGACTATTAATATGCCGATTTAATAACTGGTCATCAGAAATACTTTTTTTAAAACTTAAATCCTCATCAGACCCCATGGTGTAAACAAGAGCAGTCTCCAACTCTATACCATATCTCTGGCCTTTCTATGTGCTATGAAGAAGGACCATTACCTAAAACGTTGCCTCTCATTTATACGTATATTTTTTTCCTCTTAAGGCCACAGCGTTATTGACGTGCAATGTGTTTGAGATGTTAGTTCTGAAATCATTTTCCAACGACTTCTCAGCCAAAAGCGCGAAGACTCCCTTCGCGTACCGGCATGGGCCAGCTTGTGTCGTGTCTATGTCGTGTCTATGTCGTGTCTGTGTCGTGTCTATGTCGTGTCTATGTCGTGTCTGTGTCGTGTTTATGTCGTGTCTGTGTCGTGTTTATGTCGTGTCTGTGTCGTGTCTATGTCGTGTCTGTGTCGTGTCTGTGTCGTGTCGATGTCGTGTCTGTGTCGTGTCTGTGTCGTCTCTGTGTCGTGTCTGTGTCGTGTCTGTGTCGTGTCTATGTCGTGTCTGTGTCATGTCTATGTCGTGTCTGTGTCGTGTCTATGTCGTGTCTATGTCGTGTCTGTGTCGTGTCTATGTCGTGTCTATGTCGTGTCTATGTCATGTCTATGACGTGTCTATGACGTGTCTATGTATTGTCTATGACGTGTGTATGACGTGTCTATGACGTGTCTATGTAATTTCCACCCACCAGGTAGACGGCGCCGGCGGTGCCGGCAATGAGGGGGCTGACGGCCATGATGACGAGTGTGAGCTTCCAGCCCTGCGAGAAGCCGACGCCCAGGCCGGCCGCAAACCTCACGACGAGCTGCAGCATGACGCTCACCTGGTCGCTCATGCCGTCCTGCATCTTCATCACGTTGCTGCGCCGGGGACAGGCGTGGCAACGGACATAAATGCATCGCAATCAGACCCTCCGGCTTCACGGCAGGGAGCCGTGTGGCCGCGGTGTTAACCGAGGATTTAATATTTTGTTTAGTTTGTTGTCCTTCCCCCGCACCTCCGATTAGCACGGTTAGGCTACGTAAAAAAGTTCAACACACATCCGTCCGTTTATTTTTGTTCTCCCAATGTTATCCCGGTTGTGCTACTGGCATCACGTCATGGGATGGAGAATTGCCGTGGGGGAGCTCTGTGTTAGAGGACTGCCGATGGAAGCAAGTGGATATCACAGAGCTAATTCCGACTTCACTTCTTCAAGTGAAATCTGGTGCACACACAGTGGCAGTCACCGCTTGTCCACTCGCTCTGCATATGCGAGTGAGGTCCATCACGTGACAGTCAAACCGATATCTGCAATTCTTAAAGTTGGAAGTTAGCCAAATTTAAAGTGATGGATTTTTATTGCGCGGTCATTGGTGACTTTGCTGAAACCATCAACTCACGTGAATTGAGATTTAATCGCAGGCAGTTGTCCGGAAAATATTTCCACTTCCGTCACACCACATTCAGTCTATTTTTCGCCATAGATGTGGCCTGCCGCTGCACAATCTGCTCGACTCACAGGTTTTTTTTTTACTCCTCCTGATAATGTATTTTGTCTGATCGTGCTCATTGTGTTTACATGCTTGCCCTGTGCAGTGCATTGAGATTAAAAGCTCCATTAAATCAAATTATTATGATTATTATTGATTCTGAGAAAGGAGCATTTGAGAATTAGGACACAGGCCAGAAATCAGTACGGCCTGAGGTGGCAAAATGTTTTATTTACGCGGTCAATAAAAGTGAATTATGTGATAATCTACGAATTTAAAAGCTTACCACGTTTTCACTTTTACTCGTGGTGTAAATAAAGTGGGATCGTTAACATTTCGCCACCATCGGCGGTACCGACAGGTGACACCTCTGGTATGTGGCCCGTATAGGAACTGTTTAAAACACGTGGCTTGATTCTATATTTTTTAAAGAATCTTTCCCATCAAATAATATGGAATTTTAAAAACCTGGGAGATGGAGATCAAAACCATGGGATTTTTTTTCATTTTTATGATCCCACTAATAACCCCTAAACCATATTTACATCGCCTTAACAAAGTGGCCCAACACTTAATGTTGCTGATTAGCGCCACTGGCACGAATCAGGTTATTTTTTATATATAAAAAAACACATTTGCAGCAAAACGTTTGTGATCCTCCATTGGAACCTCATTTGCCAGAAGAAAAAATATGGTAATTGGTTTTGTACCCTTTTATCTGGCAACAAAACTGACACCTTTTTTACAAGGAGTCATGTTTGCATAGACCACAATACCTGCAGTCGTAATGCAAACAAAAAACATAACACTGATAATGTATGCACATTATTAAAAAAAGCAATTATCATGTTTGTGATCCTGTCAGGTGCTAAATTGCCCGTCCACAGCGACCGATTAGGATGAGGATCCTTGGAGTGTGCACGTTACGGTGGTCTGAGGAGAAGGCTCACTGCCTGACAGGGCCACCAAAAGGTTTTCGGCCTTTTTTTGTGGTGCCCCCTATGAGGCTCCCGCTGCTCGTTCTGAGACCTCTTCAGATCTGAGGCTCAAGGCAAACTGCTCCACCTGACACCCCCCCCCCCCCTGATATGTTGGTCTCAAACTCCTCTACAAATCGGCAGGAAGTGCCGAGATGATTTTCTAACTTTGGTTAATCAGGAAGAGGGCTACGTCGTGGGTACTGACACGGACGTGAAAACACGAATCTATTTCAACTACCTTGAAGCGGTCCAACCGCCTCCATCCGGCACCAGAGTTTGCCAAACCCGTCCGGAAGCACCGCGCGGTGCTGAATCAGACAGGGTTACCACCTCCGAGCTACAAATCACCGCAATTATACATCATGGGAAGAAGAAGTAGGAGAAGAAGAAAATATCTCGCATTATCAGAAGAAGGGATACCTTCACGCAAAATGAATTGTCTTGAGCGGTGGTGTTGTCATCACCGCTCCTGCTACTACTACTCCACAACTGACAAAAACCGGGGCTCTTTAACCTCCTGGGAACACTCGGAAGACTTCCCCAGGACGGGCTGCCACCTCACAGGGAACGCCACGGGCGGGTGGTAACCGCGGCTGGCCGAGGAAGGGGGAGCGGCGGCGGCGGCGGTGAGCGCCGGTCCACTCACTCGGTGAGGCAGTTGCCGAGCTCGCCGGCTTGGCTCGAGTCGAACCAGGCAGCGTCTTGCCGCAGGATGGAGCGGAAGAGGAGCCGGCGCACGCGTTGGGCCTGGCGTGCGCCCGCCGCCGCCCAGCACGCCACCTGCACCGTGCCCAGCACCATCACGGCCGCGCCGCCGCCCATGAAGGAGTAGGCGTACTCCGTCATCTTGTCCTCGATGCTGCAACGAGCGGGTGGGTGGGTGGGTGCCGACGCGTCGGTCAGCGTCAGTGTCGATGAATACGACAGGGGGATTGACGCTGATTTAATGTGGGTCAGTGTTGATCGTGAAGAGCATGCGATTGACACGCGGCGAATTCAGCGTGCGAAAGTTCAAATAAAAAAAAAATGCGCGGAGTTGAATACCTTTATAAATACAGTGACAGGGAGCCCCTTTGTCAAATCGCTGCTGGATGAGGGGCCTTCCCACGCCGCGCCGGTTATTTTGACCCAAGGCCGTAATTACAATATATATTGGGGGGGGGGGGGAGACATATCCCCCCCAATATTAAAATACTGTATGCTCAAAATGTCCCCACCAATATATTGCGATAAAATAGATTTCTGTTTATATGATTGTGGTTATGGTTGTACTTTATTAATCCCGAATCTCTGCCATTACATACAATGAAACAAGAAAAGGTCAAAAAAAGAAAAAGCAGAGCAATGTAATACAATACACTCCTAGACATTATTGTAATAAAATAAATAAATAGAAGCCCATCCCATGTGTTAGTGATTTTTTTTTCTTTTAGGCAGGAAATGGCAGGAAATTCGTTTTCAAATTTAGATTTTTTTTTTGCTGGGGGGGGGGGGACGCCCAGACCCCCTGGAAGATTTGGTCTCCCCCAATGTTGACTCCATGGCTACAGCCTTGTTTTGACCATACTTCACCACGCTAGTTAGTGCCGGATGGTGGCTGTGGAGAATGGGAGTATATAACTACACAAGTTGATGTGGCTGCTCTGGCGAGCCACGGCATAACCCCCCAAAACGATGTGCTGATGCCACATTTATGCCCGAAGAATGAACGTGACTTCAAACAATACCGAAAGAAAATCGGAAACGATGCAAATGAGAGAACAGATACGAGAAAAAAAGGAATCGATTCTTCATTTCAATGGTGAACCCCAGACCGTGACGATGTTTATAGAAATAGCTTAAGGTGTGATCGTTAAAAGCCTCTTATTACGGGCGAAAGCTGCCCGGTTGTTATTGTTGTCAAAGTAATTAAAATTGTCATCAATAAAACGAATCGATCTGTCCGCGCGCGTGGAGATCTTGCTCTCTCTATCTCTCACTCACTCGAAGGTGACGTTTGCGAGGATGTTGCCGATGCAGGAGAAGTTCCCTTGGCACTGGTCCACTTTGCCGAAGTCCACGAAGGACGAGGTCATGTCGCCAAACACCATGAAGAGGATGGGGTAGGTGACGCCGTGGCCCACGGCCGACAGCGTCCCCACCACCATGAGGAAGACGTCCCACCGGTCTGCAAAGCGGAACTGGGCCCAAGCGCAGACGCGTGTGGAGTTTGCGACATTGCCTTCGTTTTATTGGCCGGGGAATTGACTGAAATTAACCCCCGAGGCGTAACCTGAAGTAAACTCTGAAGTGACACCGAGTAACCTCGTTCACAGTCCCCGCATTTTCCTTTCACGCTTACGCATGTCGCGGTGTGCTCTTTTGTAACCACCCAAAATGTTATTACGATTGCGCTATCGACATCGCAACCTTCGATTCGCGCCGCTGGCTACGTACGGTGCGAAAGAAGTTCGACATACATACGTACACACACTGATGAAGCGTCCATTCGGACCTCCTTCAGAGCAGTTCGACCATTCGTACTCGAGTGCGGCCCCGCGGAGGCGGATATTGGAGAGCTACCTCTGAGATCCCTCTGGTCTACGCAGTCGAGAGCTGCACTGTCCCACCCACCCTGTCGATCACGGACTCACTGCGGTTGTACTCATTTACAGTGCTGGGCGGACAGAGGCCGAGGGTGGCGGGGGGGGTAGGGGCCTGGGAAAGCCGCTGGCCCCATTGTTTCAACTGCCGCGTCCTGGAGGTCAAGTGGAGCGGGCGACCTCTGTGAGTGCGAGTCCAATGTGCTGACCATTTACACCGCGGCAGCGTCCCGCACCGACACCAATTCCCCTCGTTCTGTTGTGGTGGTTTCGTTAAAGCATTTCTGAGTTTCTGACCCAACGGCTCTGTGTGGTTTGTATTGGTTCATAACAATCGGGGTGGCGGGGGTTCTGGGGGGGAGGGGGGGGGGAGAACGCGTAAAAATCTAAATGTGTCGTTAAACCCGCCACCACCCGACACAGCCAATTGGCAAGGTTTGTCACTTAAACAAAAAGGGCTACTTCAGCACACCGGAGTGTTGGAGAGTAAACCCGCAGCATTTACCATTCGCTGGTGATTACAACCAGCTTCGTCAGGCGATTCGCCATAATTGTACTCGCACGCGCGCACACTCACCAGGTCTAGCGGTCTTACTGGCTGCGATGTCTTCTTAGAGGGATCCTTTTTCTTCTCGTCCTGTAAGCGATACGACGCACATCGACAACGCGCACGTGAGCGTTGTAACAAGGTTGTGTGCCCGTTGAGCGTGACGGCTTTGTGAGAGGCCATCAATCCAGCAGTGGATTAATCATGGCAGATGATGATGGTGACTGATGATGAATATACCGTGGTGCACGACACCCGGTGAAGAGCCGATGACCAAATCACCCGGAATGTGCCCCGGGTCTCTACCAAGGGTGGCACAGCCGGGTTTTTTTACAATCGGGTTTAATTGTCTTTTTATATCCGGTTTAATTGGTTTTAATTGCAGAACCGCACTTCTCAACGATGGGCTTCATCCATTCCAAGCTAAGGAACTCACTGGCGCCTACGATTGTGGAGAAGCTCGTGTTCATCAAGACCAACATGCCCGCCACATTCTACGACTACCCCGTGCCCGCCGGCCCCGAGTACGGTAGCAGCACCGACGAGGAAGCAGCCTAAGCCTTTGATCAGAGTTTCGTATTCATTAAACCAGGTTTTAATTCCCCGAAATCGGGTTTAATTTTATTAAAGTAAAAACCCGATGCCTGCCGCTGGAAAAATCGGTTTTTTTTCCACCCATGCTCTCTACGGATCTCCGAAGCTAAACATGGGTTGGGAGCCAGAATAGTAATTGCATGGGATGGCCGCTGTGCATAGCAGGTGTTATAGGCTGCTGCGGGACTAGTGTGCGGTGCGACAGAGGGCAATGCAGCAACATCTATCGCTGTACTATACTTCTATGCTCCCGCGCCTACGCTTTCCACCTTCATCATGAACCCGCATGGATTCAGCGTGGTGCAATGTACAACTTGCTCAAAAGACACCCAGGAAGGACCTGCGCAGCGCACTCAATCTGAGATCATCATCCAGCAGTGGATTTGACAAGAGGCCTGCTGTACACATGCCGCCGTGGAAGAGGCAGAGCGCCCTAAGGCGTCCTGGCAACAGCTTGGCCACGTGGCGGCAAGCCATCAACGGTCGTGCGAGAGGCCCAGCACAGGTGTGAGTCACCATCACCTGGCCAACGTTGCAACAGCAGCAAGCAGCCGCTGTGGCCAATGGGCAACGTCAACAACAAAAGCAACAACAGCCACTTAGTGGCGGGGACGTCACCACGGGCGCTTGAGCCCTCAAAGGCGCTCGGTGCATTCTGAGGCCACGTGGTGAAGGATCGCTAACAGGTGACGGAAGAGACCCAGGTGCCACGTGTAACCCGCTTCCACCTTCATCTACCTTACCAATTAACCGTGGTGAACACACCAACATAAGCTTGGCCAATGTGCGAGACAAAGATCCCCGTATAGCCTTAACAGAGTGTTGGGGCAAGTGCTGTCAGCAAGGGCCTATGAAAGCCGGCCGACACGCGAGTGTGTGGGTAGCCAGCACCACGCCCGGCCGTCTTTGTCTCCGCAGTGGCGATGTTCACACAACGTACCAAGTACTCATTTGAGGCTGAGTCGACCTAGGGGAGGCCCAGGACCGGTTCAGAAAATCGTCACTGGTTGTTGGCCGTGAGCGGGAATCGAACTCGGGTCGCCGGGTTCGTAGCGCAGCGCGCTGACCACTACACTACCGCTCCCCTCACTGTGCGCGCGTACACACACACACTCACACACACACTCACACACTCACACTCACTCACTCATACACTCACTCACACACACATTCACACACTCCCACACACACTCACACACACACTCACACACGCACTCACACACACACTCACACACTTACTCACACACTCACTTACACACTCACACACTCACTCACACACAACAACAACAACAACCGCCATTCGCCACTAAGTGGCGGTGACGTCACCACGATGCTTGTGCCAGGCCAAGTGCACCTTGAGGCCACGTGAAGTGTCGAAAGCCCGCTGGCAGGAGGTCACGGGGCAGACCCAGGTGCCACGGGTCGACTGACCGAGATGACCGAGATGACTGGCTGATGCACCAACTGTGCCCCCTACTGTGCCAACTTGCTGTGCTTTAGCCACCCGGCGCTCCGCTCGTTGTTGTGAGCGTCGCTCCTCCGCCGTCCGTTGTTGTTGGAGGGCGACTGCCTCCAACTGCCCAGTAGCGTCCTTCACGAGCCTCCTCCACTGAGGCCGATCTTGACACCGCTGGTACCAGTCATCGGCAAGTCCACTCAGCTCCACGTCCTCCTGTACCACATCACTCCATCTCTTCTCCAGCCCGTGCCGCGCCCGTCTAGCCCCCTCGATCCGGCCGAACAAAAGCTGTTTAGGCATGCGGTGGCTGGGCATGCGGGCTACATGACCCAGCCAACGCAGCCTTGCCTGCCGGAGGAGCTCACTGATGGGACTTTGCCCAGATCTTTCAAGGATTTGTGAGCTCCTCACACAATCCAGCCTGGTTAAACCCAGGATGGATCGTAGGCAGGCCAGCCTAAATGTTTCCAACCGGCGAAGATGCTCCACCAGGGGGGTCCACGTCTCGCAAGCGTAGAGAAGGGAGGGAATGACCGTGGCCGAGAAGACCTGAAGCTTCGTGCGGAGCGACAGACCAGGTAGCTTCCACACAGCGTTACGCAACCGATGAAAAGATATTGCCGCTCGACTGATTCGGAGTGAGACCTCTGCTGATAGACTGGAGCCGGTCATAAGCACACTGCCCAGGTATGGGAAACTCTCCACTCTCTCCACAACTGCCCCATCACCAATTGGGAGTTGTGGGGGTGGAGTGTCCGATGGTACAAAATACCCAGGCAGGTGCTTGGTTTTGGTGGGGCTGATGGTAAGGCCCCACCTCTTAGTGGCACGCTCCAGTCTCAGCAGCAGCGCCTCCAACTCCTCTTCTGAATGAGCAGCTATTACCAAATCATCGGCATACATAACGTGGTTGACCAATAGGGAGCCATCCCTTGATCGCACCCGGGCGTCGATCAGCCTCCCATTATATCTGTACCAAACGGAAATTCCCCCGGTACAGCTATTGAAGGCTTCACGAACTACGCGGTCAAAATAGATGTTAAATAATGTGGGAGCCAGAGGACATCCCTGTCGCACCCCAAGGTGTACAGGGAAAGGCTCCGACTCCCGGCCACGTAGTTTTACCCGGGCCCGCTCACCATCATGAAGGTCCTTAATGATCGTGAGCAGAGGGTCAGGGACTCCGAAAGCACGAAGAACAACCCAGAGTCCAGTCCTACTGATGGTATCATAGGCCTTGACTAGGTCAATAAAGCAGAGATGTAGGTCTTTTTGGAATTCCCTACACCTCTGCTGTAGCAGACGGACAGAAAATATGGCATCTGTGCAGGACCGCCCTTTCCTGAAACCGCATTGGGGCTCCGCAAGCCCCTCCTCAGCGTGCCTAGCAAGGCGATGTTGAATAATCCTTGCCAGGACCTTACCCGGCACACTGAGGAGTGAGATGCCCCTGTAGTTGTTACAGTCTGTGCGGTCCCCCTTCTTAAAGAGGGGGACCACCAGGGCATCCTTCCAGTCCTGCGGAACCCGTCCAGTGGTCCAGACTGTTGTTATGATGTCATATAGGGCAGTCTGTGCACAAACGCCACCCTCCCTCAGCATTTCGCTTGGGAGATCATCTCTGCCCGGTGCCTTCCCTGGTCTCAGACTCCGGATCGCCCTCAGTACTTCCTCAACAGCTGGAACCTCAGCCAGCCACTCACAGGGGGTGACCTCTTCCAATATTTGAGGCACCGCAGCCTCAGCAGGGTTATCCCCACTTTGTGCCATGATGTTTTCCTGGCTGAGAGAATTTCCCTCCCCCAGGACCTCACAGAAATGCTCAGCAAATCTGCAAACCTGTTCCTGGGGGTCGGAGATTGGATCACCGTTTTTTCCTCTAATGATGGTAATAGGTGTGGCGCTGCAGGTTACTTTTTTGATGGAGTTAAATAGTGATTTGTGATCACGGGCCACTGAGGCAGACTCCATCTCCTCAGCAACCCGCGACCACCACCCATCCTTACAACGCCTTACGGCTCTCCGAACTTCCGAGCGAAGGCTGCGGTAAACCTCCTCATTCTCTGACGTGGGATGCTGTAGGCGATGAGAGTGGGCCTGTCGCTTTTTCTCAATTAACCTGAACACCTCCTCTGTCAGCCAGGGTTTCTGGGGAGGTCTGGACCGCGTACCCAAAGCAGCCATTGCAGCTGCATGAGTCACAGTCCTAAACCTCGCCCATTTACCCTCGACATCAGGTGGAGTGGGGGACGATGCCAACCCCAGCTGCAAGCGATGATGAAATTCTCGCTTGCAACTTTCATCAGCTAACTGAGACCAGGCCACTTTTGGTTGGAATGGGATCCTGGGTGTACACCCACCACCGGAGTGGAAGAAAGGCAGGCGCATCTTACAGATGACTAGTCGATGGTCAGAGGACAGATCAGCTCCACGGTAGGTCCTGGTGTCAAGGACATGGGTTCGCATCCGCTGGTCCGTCACTATGTAGTCCAGCAGATGTTCTTGCTTGGACCCGGCATGTATCCATGATGTTGTGTGGATGCGCCGATGCCGGAAGAGCGTGTTGGTAATTACAAGCCCATGGGCTGCACAAAAATCTAGCAGCCTCCTACCGTTATTATTGAGCTGATCTGGCCCATGCCTTCCAATCACTCCAGACCAGGTGTCAGCATCATGACCAACTCGGGCATTGAAGTCACCCAACAAGATGACTCTGTCCCGAGTGGCCACTTTAGCCAGCACCTGTGACAGGAGGTCATAGAAAGCGTCTGACTCATCGGCTTTGCTTGCATCCCTCCACGGATGTTCGTCTTCGGTGGGGGCATAAGTAACCACGACCACCACTCCTCGCCTCTGGTTGATGGGAAGGCGAGCCCAAAGTATCCTGGGGCTTACAGCTTCCCACACCTCACCGCCACGCTCCCACGCCCCCTTCATTCTTTTGTTCAGAAGAAGAGCCACACCCTGTTGTTTGGCAGTCTCCTGCCCCGAGTAGAGGACTGTCCACCCCTCATGGTGGCAGGAGCCAGAACCGGTCCACCGGACCTCCTGAATGCCACAGAGATCCAGGCGGTACCGGTCCAGCTCCCGACAGAGGAGTGGCAGCCTCTCCTCCGCAGTGAGCGTTCGAACATTCCACGTGGCCATCCGCAATGGTTTTTTGTTGTTTCTGGAGGAGCCCCGAGGGTGAAAATTCAATCTCCTGGCTCCGCCAAATGGGGTTTGGCCAGGAGACGTCATAAAAGCCTGACCCCCCGGGGCCTCCGGCACAAGCTTATTTGTTACAGGTTTATGTTTAATTCGTGGTTTAGTGGTAATGAATTGAAGGTGGAGGGGTTACCAGCCCCTCACACCCGTCCAGAGCCCCCGTTTAGCCACTGTGGTGGTCACAGACGCCATGAGGGGAGAGGCCAATGGGCATTGGCCCTCCCCCCACAGCAATGTCCACGACAGTGTTGCCCGTCCGGCACCGCGAGGAGGTAGGAGGTTGTTTTGCCGGACTACACTTACTCACACACACACTCTCACACACACTCACACACTCACACACACTCACACGCACTCGCACTCACACACACACTCACACAGTCACTCACACACTCACACACACGCACTCACTCACACACACACTCACATGACTGCAAGGGTCCATACTCTTTGGTTTTTTTCGGTAAAGTCACGTAGGTAAAAAAGAAAGAAAGAGAATAAAAGAAAAATAAATGTATTTTTATTTAATTTTTTACCTACGTGTCTAAGTATACTCCACATGTAATCCGCTATGTCTCGGGTAATGATACCTCA